GAAGAAAGGTTCTTGAGTGGCAGCCTTGTACCGGTAGGCGAAGTGTAGGGCGACCCCCCACGAGATGGAGTGACGACCTGGTAAGACATGCAGGAATTCGATGGATGCAGGTGGCTCAGGACCGTGCTTTGTGGCATTCCTTGAGGGAGGGCTATGTTCAGCAGTGGACTTGTGAAGGGCTGTAATGATGATGATGATGATGATGAAACATACTTGTCATGTTGTACCGGAACAAACTTGTGTCTGAAGTCGAGTCTTTGCTGAACAAAGTCTCGGATTGGGGGCGACTAAATCTAGTCCAATTTAATCCTCAGAAGACACAAGTTTGCGCGTTTACCGCTAAAAAGAAACCCTTTGTTGTATCTCCTCAGTTTCAAGGCACTCCCCTTCTTGCCTCAGCCAGTATCGGTATCCTCGGAGTCGACATATCGAGTGACGTGCAGTTTCGTGGTCACTTGGAAGGGAAGGCCAAATTGGCCTCTAAAAAGCTTGGCGTGCTCAGCAGAGCGGGACAGTATTTCATGCCGGCACACCGCCTGCTACTTTACAAGGCGCAAGTTCGGCCTCACATGGAATACTGTTCCCATCTCTGGGCAGGGGCTCCCCAGTGCCAGCTCCTTCCACTTGACCGCATCCAACGCAGAGCTGCTCGAATTGTCGACGACCGAGCCCTTTCCGATCGGCTCGATTCATTGGCACTGCGAAGAAATGTTGCATCCCTTTGCATTTTCTTTCGCATCTACCATGGGGAGTGCTCTGAGGAATTGTTCGGATTAATCCCAGCCACCAAATTTCACGAACGCACATCGCGGCAGAACTCCCGATACCATCCACACCATCTGGATGATTGGCGGTCCACCACTGTGCGATTTAGAAGATGTTTTCTTCCTCGCACGACCTCCTTGTGGAATCGATTACCATCAGCGATTTTTCCGGACCGATACGACTTAGGGACCTTCAAGAAAAGAGCGTACTCCTTTTTAAAAGGCCGGCAACGCATCTGCGATTCCCCTGGTGTTGCAGTTGTTCATGGGCGGCGGTAGTCACTTACCATCAGGTGAGCCGCATGCTCGTTTGCCCCCTCTCCTATAAAAAAAAAAAACTTGTCAACAACTTCAAGCGTCGTATTCCCAAAGATACGGGCATAGGTGTAAGATGGTCCTTACATATAACTTTTGTCTTGTACATGACCATTTTAAGACCTACCTGTTGGGAGACACTATTAAGGATATCGTCGTAAAATAGCAACATAATGTTGCTGTGTTTCATATATATGTAGAGTGAGTTTAGAGAACCGGTGACCTTTTTTTACTGGCAACAAGACTGTATTTTGATTCTTAATCAACATACACTTTCGATCATGTGGTTTTGGTTATCACACCACAGACGACACCCACGGGACGAAATCAGGTGATGTATTCTCTTCCATCACCTCTGTTCAGAGTCTTCGATCAGTCAGTCAGAAATCAGAGTGGCGATTACAACAAATATTTCCTATAATGAAAGGTGTCTTGTTAGTCTGTTCAGGGCTGATAAAGAATATCAAGAAAGAAGAGAGAGTTGCGCAAGCAAGTATATGTTTGGAAACTGAATCCGTTTTCAAGGTGTTTTGTTTTGTTTGTTGTTGTATGTTTTCCTTCACCGCCAAGCATGTGGTAAATCAGCTGTTAAAATTGCAACTAACAAATTCACTGGTGCCGGTGGAAATTAAACCTAGGTTGCTAACGTACTACACTAAAAAGTGGTAGCTAAAGCCTTGAGTTCTTCTATCCACGTTAGAATATAAACAGATAATTTTTTCCAGTAACTTAAGATCTTAGTATAATAGATTTCCGCAAAATAACGTTTAATTATATATTTTTTTCAGGTTTGTGACTGGCCCTAATTTGCTGAATGTACGGTGAAAGGTAGAAGCAGGTACAAGCACCTTCGTACCGACGCTACCACTGAGAGACAGACGTTGAAGCAAACGCTTTTTTCTTTAATTTATTCATGACCATAGCTAGTGTCCGGATATTTTATATTATATACTCTAAAAAGTTATTTTGAATAGTTAGAAAAATATTGTTAAAACGTCCTATTGAAATAAATTAATGTTTTTAAGCTTCTTCTCATTTACGTTACTTAGTTGCAATATACAATAAAACAAATAGGTATACGTATAGACGTGGTAGAGCCATGATGCAGCTATATTAATAGCATAGTTGTAGGATGAGTTGGTAGGCTCGACCGGGGAAGGACCACACCCTCACAGAATACCAGCGTAATTAGCATCTTAATGCTGCTGTGTTTCGTGATGGTTATAGTGAGTGCAGAGAACCGGAGTACGTTTTTACTGGAAAAGGGGCATTCCACACGGCACACGCCAAGACGCGTAAGATGGAGAACCAACCAGCTTGCGTTCCAAGAACTTAAGGCATCCAAAGAGCAGTGTGAACTGTTGCTTAAGGAAAGGGATGATAATGAAAGGGAAATAGTTAGCATAATTACCAAAAATACACAATTGAAAAAGAAAGAGATCAGCTACAGGGAACGGTTAATGAGTTTGACCAATGCAGCAAGGAATATGAGGAAGCTCTCAGGCTAATTGCTGCATTGAAGTTACAGTTGAATGAGGCTAATGAGCAAATAACACAATTTAAAACATATATAGATAACCTTAACGCCTCCCAGACTCAAAGCCTGTTCTCTGAGCTTGTGCAATGTGATACTTCAAGAATTTTTCAGCAATCTGCAACAATAGATTTGACTGGTGACGCCTCCTCCACTTCAAGAAACACAGTAAGGATTAATTGCAGAAAAACCAAATTGAAGAGGTATATAAACTTTAAAGGCCGGCAACGCATCTGCGATTCCCCTGGTGTTGCAGTTGTTCATGGGCGGCGGTAGTCACTTACCATCAGGTGAGCCGCATGCTCGTTTGCCCCCTCTCCTATAAAAAAAAAATAAATACATAAGGAAAGTACAAAAACTAATAAGAAATAAGATACTTGTATATACCAGAAATTATGTTAACTTTGGCCTCTCAGTATATTTACGAAAATTTAATGTATGTTCACAAAAACAAAGGTAGTTTTAGTAAAAAAAGTGGTTTACATTCTGTAAACACTAGGAACAAACATAAGCTAGTGATACCAGTTTCTGGACTCCACAGCGTCAGTAATTTATTCTTGGGGCAATGTATACGCTATTACAACAGGGTCCCGGACAGTGTACAGGCTGTCTCAATTACCAAGTTTAAATGTTTTGTTAAGCTGAAACTGTATAAAAAGGATTATTATAGTATAAATGAATACATGGTTGATAATAACCCCTGGGAATTCGCAAAAGTCGCTTCCAAGCCGTTTCTAAAATAAATTTTGTAAATAGTGTGTAATCATTTATATTGTAAAATTTATTTAAAAAAAGTCCCGCTGGGTTTCTTGCTGGTTCTTCCCAGGACAACGGGTTTTTTTTTCGAACCAGTGGTAAAGTAAAAAATGACTTTCAATAAGAATTACACATGTAATCTATATTGAATAAAAAAATATATTATTCTATTCTATTCCATCTTAGTCCTTACAGCTGACAACGCAACTGCATTTTATTCGCAAACGAGGATAGATGTAGATGTCTATGGTCCACAGCAACCACTTACCATCAGGTGGACTCTGTGCTCATTTGTCACCCTTATCCTATGAAAAATAGGACGGAAAGTATGATGGGGAAATTTTAGAGTTCTAAGTAATACGCTTTGAGTAGGGCAGGCTAAATCACCACTTATCATTAGGTAGTCAGGCAGTAGACAAACACTGTCTTATAATAGATTAAAAATATTTGTCTTCCCATCCGATTACAACGTGTTTTAAGCAAGAGTATACAGGCATTTGTTGTACTAAGCTAGTGAGCTTAACCTCTAGGGTTGTTTTTACACCTACGCATATCCGCCTCGCGAGGGCAAGAACGGGTTATGTCGGTCTCGCACCAACTAAAACCCTAATGCGGATGACTCCACCTATCCAAAATACACAAAGGCCAAAGGCGTTGGAACTCAGCGTGCGTTTTTCTCTACTGCCTCCATCTCTATCAGCGCAACGGGCCCCATGGATGGCCAGCAAAAAGGAGTTCCCATAAGCACCAGTCTTAACCCATTCACGGACGGTAACAGTTGAATCTGTGTTCTAGAATGACACAATAAATTTCCATATAAATATACTTGACGTTTATATACGTAGTGCTGCCCTAATATTAGATGTTTTGAAGACTTTGTGACAGAAACGTTTTATCACGTCATCGTTTACATACGTTCTGTCATAATTAGTGCAACTAATAAGATGGGTTATGGACACAACGTACAATAACGTCCAACGTATATATACGTTCTGTCATTTTGTATTACGTAGATGAATAGTAGTAATATCACAACGTCATTATACGTCGAACGTGAAATAACGTTCTGTCACTTTTGGTGTTAAGGTAAGATGTCATATGGTCACAACGTATAATACCGTCCAACGTATTTAGACGTTGTGTCATAACATAAAGTGTTGAAAAATAGTGCCTGTATCACAACGTCGTTTTACGTCCAACGTATCTATACGTTTTGTCTTATACCATAGGTAAATAAATAATGGCTGTAGCACAACGCGATTGTACGTCGAACATGAATTAATGTTTGTCACGAATCTTATTGTAATAATAGTGTGTTCTTGACATAACGTTTTAAAGCACTCTTTATTTGTCCACCATATAGTAGTAGTATATTTTACCACCCTGCGTTATTTAAATTTAGTCATAAAATAATATAAATATATACAAATAGTTTAAGGTGAGCTTGTAACAGGAATTTAAATTCATAAAAGAAATCAGAATTCGTAAATCAACATTTTTATTAATTAAAACATAATTATTTATCAGTCTTAGGAATCGTAAACTTTAATTACACAATTATAACAAAAATATATCTTCTGTATATAAAAAAAAAATAAAAAATCTTCTAATTTATATAAAAAGTCTTCAGTTTAATAACTTGAAATCAAATTAGCAGTCTCATGCCATTCTTTAAAACACAGTGCACACAGTGCTGGTTTTTCTTTGCATCCCATACATCTGAAACCAGTTTCCTTACGAAGTTTATTCTTTGCACACATTTTGCATTTGAGGTAGTTCGTTTTCTTTTTGGAGCCAGGAGGAAGTGGAATCTTTTCAGGCCAATGTCCAATGTTACCATTATCGAGATGTATCGAGGAAGGTCCCGGATCTACTACCCTATTTATTTTTCGATTGTCATACTTGGAATGCTTGATCAAAAGATCAGGTTTTTGGTCAGGGCTAATACAAATCAAATCTCGTATTAATTCCTCTCGAAAATTTAAAAAATCATATTTTGTATTATTGTTCTTTTTGTATTTTCTATATAAAAAATAACTGTTCCAAACGGCTAAATCCAGTAGGTGAAAAAATACTTTTTTGTACCATCTCAAACATTTCCGGGGAGACGAGTAATATGATACCATCTGGTCAGCTCGATCTATACCGGACATGAATTCATTGTAAGTTACCACTTCCGCTGGTTTTCTTTTTAATTGTCCTCGTCTATTTGTAATGTTAATCATTTTTGGATGGTTCCTTGTAGTGATCATTGTTACGGTTCGCTTATCAAACCATTTCGAAACATAGATATTGTTTTTTCGTACCCATACATGTTCACCTTTCTTTAACTTTTTTTTCATAACCGCCTTCGGGTTTCCTTTACGGTTTGTTCTGAGTGTTCCGTTTGTATGTGTTCTAAGGTCAAGTAATTTATGAGACAAGCCAAAAGAATTATAATAATTATCCATAAATAATTCATGACCTTTCAGAACATATGGTCTCATTAATCTTAGTACAATCTTTTCTGTTTTTTTACCCTTTTCCACAGATTCATCTTTTCCAGTATACATTAATATATTTAAAACATAACCACTTGCCTCCGTCAATTCATAAAACTTTATTCCATATTTAGCTTTCTTTGATTTTAAATATTGTCTAAATGATAGACGTCCCCTAAATAAAAGGAGCGATTCATCCAATGAAAGTTCTTTTTCGGGTGAGTAACATACGCGAAAATTCCTGGTAATAGCATCCATCAATTCTGTTATTTTTGCTTTGCCTATAGCACTTAAAGGTCCAGTATATAGACACCTTAACAGTTGCTCAAATCTACGTCCCGACATTGTAGATACAAAAATGGGGTGATAATATAAACTGTCTGATAATGTAAAGAGCTTCCGCTTTTGGGGTACGTTGACTTGACCACCTAACATGCATAAACCTAAAAATTTCAGCATCTCACTTCTATGTGTAGGTTTGAATGAGTATGATCGACTGTGTCTAGTTTTCGGCCTATTAGTTTGACACATATTTTCGCCATATACATTTGTGCAATCTATTAGATAATCAAGAATCATAGGTGGAAACAAGCGGTTGAATACATCAGTTACAGTTGTGTTTTCGTTTATAGAAAACGTTACTCCTACAGTATCGGCGTCAAAATTAAATTCTGGTATGGAAGTTGTAGTTTGCACCCATTCTTCCTCTGTAGATGTTGTCTCAGTGGGACGTGACAAACCTCCTGGTCTATTGTGCAACGCGTTGGATAAAGGTGGTAGTTCAGCAGAAGACCTTGGTTCTTCCTGAACTATCTCATGGTGATAGCTTTCAGCCACCACATGTGAAATTGGTGATAAAGTTGCCAAATCCAATATCCTATTTTGAGAGGCGTTTGGTGAAGGTAGTAGTTCTTCCTGAATTATCTCGTCAGGTGATGTTTGTAATAGGTTTGACGAACCCAATAGCCTATTTTGAGATAAGTTTAGTGAAGGTGATAACTCATTTATTTCAGGTTCAGAACATTCTTGAATTATTTCATTGTAGCTTTCAGCCACAACAGGTGGAACCATAGTTGGAGCGCTAGCCAGTTTTAAACGTTTGGCCAGAGGAAAAATTTCTTCAGAGGTGCTCGAGTCATAACCTGAACCGTCCTCTTGAGTATATAATTGGTAAGGGGTTTCTACATTCCTATTTAGTATTGAGGATTGATTTGATGACTTATTCATAGAGCTTTGGCTCCAATTAGTTTCTGAACTAGAAGACGATTGTCTTAAATGTCTTACTGCATCGCCTTCATCACTGCTAGATTCCGAACTAGAATCAGTATTAGGTCTCTGAGACGAGTCGCCAACAGTCTTTGATTGTAATTTAGTTTTTGTCGACTTTGGACGGTAATTAATAATATGAAAACTACTACCTGACGTATCTCCACATGGATCGTAATTTTTATCCGATCCATAGTCGCCATCATCGTCCTGGAACGGATCTACTGCGGTCGAACTATCCGAATCCTCAAAAATCCTCATCGGATTTGTCTTGCGTTTTTCCATCTAAAACAAACAAAATAACCAGTAAGATACCATTTTCATAGAGCAATATTGTTTATAATACCGTTCACAATAAAACAATAAGAAAACAATCACATAAATAATACTTACGATGCTTTTGTGTCTCGACGAAGTTTACTACGAATCGCTCCTGCGAAGCTAAAACGCGCGTGCATCCCACTCGTGACACAGTCGAACTAAATGTAGGGACGCTGGAAGCGTGCGGGACGTATAATCACGTTGTGCGTGTGTGTGTTGCGTTACCACACACTGCCAAGAACACATTTTTGAAATGGTCAAAAACCTATTCTATATGACAGTAAAGTTCAGAGTTTTTGATATGTTGTGACACAAGCTCCAAATCATAGAATTTTTATTTAAAAGTTCATCGGAAATGAACGTTCCGCCGCACATGTTCTTTTTTTTTTGAACGTCATGGTACGTTGTGTCATATCAAAACCATACATTACGACGTACAATCACGTACCGCCCGTGAAAGTGTTAATTTTGTATATATTATTGTATTATTTCGGTTTTATATTTAATCTACGTTTTACTTTCTTTAGTCTCTATTTTCGTATTTTGTGCTGTACACTAAAGTATATACCTATATAAATATAATCCTCAGTGACAACACAGCAATGTAAATGTTCATTGTAATTTTTAACGCTAATTTTACCACGCGCTCGGCGGGAAAGGAAATAATGTGAGGAAAGCTAAGTGACTGACAAATAAAATATTCCGAAGACATGATGTAAAGTCCGCTAACGCGCACAAATGGTCCAACGCAAAATTCTATAACTGTCACAGGAATAAGAGGAGGCATGTTTGCAGTTGTAGGACGCATATATAGGTAGTAAATTTATAAGTAACTAGCGGTCCGCCTCGGCTTCGCGCGGGTGGTTTCTAGATCTCGACAACAGTGCCACCTACCGGGTCCAATTATAAATCAAACCCATTCTTTACACACAAAAACTTTCATCGACATCGGTCCAGCCGTTTAGGAGGAGTTCAATCACATACACACGGACAGAAGAATTATGAAAATATGAAAAAAGGCATGGTTAGAAACGATAATTTAGTTTTTGTACTTTATTCATATTGCTCATCAATATCTTTTTATGCTTTTAAGATAATCGTATCGATAATAACCATTAAGGTAACATAAATAGTGTTTTACATTATTTCTATAAATGTCTATTTATCATTAGTTCACGCATTTACTAATATTTTATAAAAGTGTCTCTTTGGTAACAATAATGAGCGGTAGTTTCTCCTTCACAATTCAATTAAATAAAAGAAAGAATTCAACGTGCATAAAATGAGAATTATTTCTGAAGTTGCATTAATGGTTCTCATTGCGGCTGTAATTGAAGGGACCTATGCAGAAAAGCAATGCCTGAAACAATCCGGGACAGACTGGGAAATAGAGCTCGTGATAGCGCATGAAGATTGTAATAAGTTTTACAAGTGTTTTCACGGTAAACCCCTTGAGGTCATGTGCCCAAAAGGACTCTATTTCAACATAAATTACTGGCAATGTGACTGGAAGAGTAACGTTAGTTGCAGCGGACGAAATATTCCCGTAGAAGATTCTGCAGATGATGATGAAATCACTAACAATGCTGAATCTGATAGTGAAGACATAAACTATGAAGAAATAGATGATGAAAATGAGCAGATGAAGATAGAGAATGTGGGCTTGATATTCCTTAAGAACAATTGTCCAGTTAATCCAATGATTCAGTGGCGGCTCCCTCACGAAAAAGATTGTAATCAATTTTATAAATGCCTCTGGGGTGTAAAGATTAACCAACGATGCCCTCTTTTTCATCATTTTAATAGAAAGTCTCAGGTTAGCTTTTTTTCGAAGAAGAGTGGTTTTATAAATAATAGAGTAATTTCGTATAGTGGCGATATAAGATTATTCACTGGTCCATATCGTCAAGTGGGTCTAAGGCTTACTTTCATATATTTTATACTCTTGTACTCGTATGTGGGACTTGAAACCTCAAGTTGTAGTAATGCTTAGAACTTTGTTATTATATTTTTATATATAAAAATTACGTGTCACATTGTTTGTTCGCGATAAACTCCTAAACCACTGGTATGATTTCAATGAAATTTTGCACACTGTGTGCTGTTTCGTCCAACTTGAGAGATAGCATAGTTTCTATCGCGATAAGTGACCCTCAGTATTTTTTAATTCGAATTTAAGTATTTTTATAGTACAAAGGTTCGCCGTTAAGGGTAGAACAATGTCTGCCTGGCCAGCTAGTATATATATAACTGCTTTTCTTTCAAATAAGTTACTTTCATGTCTGTAGTATGTAGTACTTCCCTACCTACATATATTTCTTACTGTAGGACATGCGTCTCCGGCAGTACTCGTATAATGTATAGAAAAATCGACACCCTTGGATATGGTTTAAACTTTTTGTTGGGGTTCTATTTGTTAAATCATTATATAGAAATATGATTATTTTGAATTTTGAGCAATAGTTTAAGCGATATTAACAAAATAAGATTCATACTTTACATATTAACACGCTAGGTATATAAAATAGAAATATTTCGACTCGTTTTCAAATAATAACAAAAGATTTACAAATGTTATCTTTATTATTGTAATATAATCCCTCTGATAGTTATTGTACATTGTTATAAATCACAAGTATTTTTAGTAAATTTAATTAATTTTTGAGGCCACTTTCATGGCACATGGTACTTTAATAGTTAAAAAAGAAATGAATGTACTTCAACTATATGCATTTCGATTGTTTAAAATATTGCTTCTTTGATATTTAAGACTACTTCTTTGGTTTTAAAATTTTACATAGAATTTTATAATTTTTAATACTAATAATAATGCGCCGTCATCATCGATCACTAATAAAAAAGGTTTTTTTTTTAATTAGTGATCGATGGTTGCACTATTTCTTCTATTTGCTTTATTCTACTCAATACAAGTTATTCGTATCGTATCGTGTCCATCAACCAATCTTAAGATTAATATCATGTATCTCCAAACATAGTACTGGATTCTTCAAGTCATCACTTACCATTCAGTTATCATTCACTGCTCTTCTTAGCTCTCGAAGGGCCTTTCCGAAAATATCAAAAGTACACCAAATAAGCAATGTTTTAAAACATTGCTCCGACACCGATAACTGAAGGCAAGTTCACCTAACCATATATATATATCTTTAAAACCAATATATATTACCTTATTATATATTTAAAAAACCATAATAACCTAATATATATTTAAAAAAAATTGTATGTATAAATAGATGGAGTGACGACTTGGTAAAACATGTCATGCAGTGGTTGGATGCAGGTGGCTCAGTATTGTCAACAGTGCGCTTGTGAAAGGTTGGAGTGATAATGAGGATAATGGTGACGATCATATAATATGTTACCAAAATTGCTTAGTGTTTAAATCTTAAAACACAGCACGGCTTGAGCTACTTTAAAAATGAAATATTGAAGAATCGCTATGACTTGATAAAAAGAAATATGTCTTAAACCAAGTTATTAATGATTATAGCTTTAAAAATCAATAATTAAATATATATTATATTATTATAATAATTGTATTATTAATTTCATTTGCAGATATGTGATTGGCCGAGAGTTGCTGGATGTGCCTAATAAAGATTTGCTGCAATGATTTTAATGTGTTTGGTACAGAAATATAAAATAAAAAGTAATCTATTATGACATTTCTAATGAAAATAATGATTTATTATATTTATGCGATCACTACACTTTGAATAAACTTTTACGGATTTTATTGCGTTTAATTTACTTAATTTTGATTCCCGATGTTTTAAATAAAGTCCGTAAAAGTAGTCTATACATATACATATACCTAGTCAGGTCATAAATTCTGTCACATGTTTAATATAAAATAATTGAAACAAGTTTATTCATTATATAACCATTTATATACCAAAATGAACTTAACAAAACATAGATTCTTATTACACTAAAGTTTATTCAAAATAGCCTCCGTGATTTTGAAAATACAGGCCTTCAATCTGCGCGGCCAGTCGTCTATCGCAGCACGAACGAGGTCCATGTCAATATCGGCGGCTGCCTTAATCAAGGATGTCTTGAGTGACTCCAAATTGGGATGAGGCTTTGAGCACGCCTTTTCCTCCAAGTGTTGCCATATCTTGTAATCTAACGGATTCAAATCTGGACTGGAGGAGGGCCAGTCTTCGTGCCGGATGAAGTCGATTTCACGCGCCGCCAGTCAGTCTTGTGTGCTCTTCGCTCTATGAGCTGGCGCCGAATCTTGTTGGAATACCCAGTGCCTGTTATTGAACATGGTATGAGAAACAGGTTACACAAGGTTCGTCAGGACTGTATCATACTTTTTGACTGTTTGATACACAACTGCATTAGTTTTTACACCTTTCTCACAAAAATGTACCTCTGTTAAGCCCCAATAAGAAACTCCCAACCATACCATGAGTGAGGATGGAAAATGACCTCGTTGGACACGCGGAATGCGGTTGCTCGCTTCTTCACTACTGTGTGCGTATACCTTATCATTTTGTTTGTTGTAGCTCTCTTCTACGGTAAAAATTTTCTCATCCGAAAAAAGAATTTCCCGATATTTTTTTCCCGCGTACCGCTTCAACAAAGCGCGGCATCTCTTCAGTCTCAGGTCCATTAGACGAGCATTCAAACGATGTCCTGTTTTCCTTCGATATGCCCGAAGCCCTAAGTCTTCATTTAACACCCTTTTCACCGTGGTTCTGCTTAACCCCATCTGAAGGGCCATCAGTTTCTGCTTACGTTTGGGATTTCATTGAATTCGCGCCTTCACAGCTTTTATCACTGCTGGAGTCCTAACAGACCGAGGGCGACCACTTCTTGACCTGTCATCTATACTAGAGTCTTCATTGTATCGTTTGATGGTACGATAAACGAATCTTTTGGTTATATTCAAATTTTTCAGTATGTCAAAAATTTGAATTGGCGCGTAACCGCAACGATGCAACGCAATAACTGCAACACGGTCTTCTTTATGCGTCCACTCCATATTTAAAAATGAGTAAAATTCTAAAAAGTATACAGTTTTATTTTCATGAACAATTCGAAATTCGAATTCAATAAACTTTCTTGTGCCCAGCATTCTAAAAGAAAAGTTTTTACTGTGTGACAATACTTATGACCTGACTAGGTACATACACACAAATAAATAAAATTGAAGTGTCCGTTTGTAATGTCAAAATAACAGCTTTTTAATAAATGCATATGAAAGTAGATAACAAAAACATAATTTTCTGTCTGTCTGCCTGTCTGTTTGTTCCAGCTAATCTCCGAAATGGCTGGACCGATTTTGATGGAATTTTCAGTGGCAGATAGCTGATGTTATAGGAAGTAATCTAGGCTACTTTTATTTTAGAATAAGAATTAGGGTTCCGCGCGAAAAAATTAAAACCCTAAATTACACGCTGGCGAAGTCGAGGGAACAGCTAGTTTTGTAATAAAAATGTTGAACTATTTTTTATGTCAACATTTAAAAGATTTTTTCATTTATACAAAGAAACAAAGGATAAAAATTAATAACGTAAATTTACTGCAACTCCAAATTCGTTTATTATACAGACATTCATAATAAGGAAAATTAAATAAAAATACGTTTACAAATATATAAAAATAATTTATTAAATTGTAATTATGTCGTTGTTATGTAGGCTGTTTTTGTAAGCAAATCAGAATTTAAAAAATAAATTGATAAATTTGGTTAATTTAATCTTTTGAAGTACAAATTATGTACATAAATAAACGTGAATGAAATATGTCACACTTTTATTTTGGTGTTATTTAAATGAAAACTAAAAGCTTTATCTGCTATATTTGTTATACATGTAGGCAACATAATTGGAAAACAGTTGCAGTGAATAACTCTATCTATTTATTACTACGATACAATTGCATGCAGTGACAGCCTCGTTGCTCTAGTTGGTTGGTCTCCTGGCTCAAGTGGATGTAAACGTGTATGCAGATCATGAGGTCCCAGTTTCGAATCCAAGATCGGACTAAAAATCAGTTTCTTTCAAGAAATTCTCAGTACTATTTATACGGGACCGAGGATAGAGCTTTTTAAAAAACGATTTTATTTACACAACACGATATAATTGATTAGATTTAACAATAACATTTATTTAAACTTAGAATATAGACTAACTGGGATTTAGAATATAGAAAAGATTTAGTATAGGATATAGTAACGACTTAGTAACGATATATGAACGAGACTGAGATTGGAACGAGACTGACTGTAGATTGATTCTTGACTGATTATGACTGATTCTTCTAGCGTTTGTCGGGAGGTCGGTTATATAGGCTTTATGGTGCTGGCGCAGCAGCGTGAAAGAGATGCGTTAACCGATCTCCTAACATTGATGGGGTTAAACAGTACCAACCAGGAGTTAGGAAGTTAGTATTTAACGCCTGTGCCTCGGAAATACTTAAAACAGAATGAGGTGTCGGAAGGACTGTGTGTGGGAATAGAGAGTGCACCGCATACGCCTGGGCATTATAATGAAGCGCTAGGAGCATATGGGTAGTCTCTGTAGAGAATGGTCGCCGTGACGGAAGTTCGGTCTGAAGGACATTATTATTATTGATGCGATCCACGACTCGCCATTGAGAGATCCATGACCAGCCGTGAGGAGGAAGAATTGTCCTTACCCTAAGTAAAAGTCCACAGGTGGATATAAGCTTCTAGGAAGGATTGGACATAATCCCTACGCTTGTCAGGTGATTGTTTATTGCAGTACCAAACGTCTCCCACTTTTGACGCTACTCGGCATCACCGGTTTTGGTGTTTTACGTCTGGTGAATGGGGATAGTTAAACATGTGTCGCCTGTTACGACACCCATACGATGATGTGCACAAAGATCATTGCAAACGGGCATACAGTCCATCTGATGTTAAGTGGATACTGTGACCCATAGACTTCTACATCTACCCTCGATTAAGAATCAATATGCAGATGCGTTGTCACCTGTGAGGGCTAAGATGGAATGCCTCGTTTCCAGTAAAAAGGGTCTCCGGTTCTCTACACTCACCATACCAAACACAGCAGTGTTAAGCTGCTATTATACGCTGGTATTCTGTGAGAGCATGTTCCTTCCCCCGGTCGACCAGACCCATTCGTGCTACAATTATAACAAAACAAGACTCTACCACGTATAAAAAGCGCGACATTAACACAGCCAATTGGATATAAGCAGTCCCTGTTCCCCGCGGTTACTTTTGTCCATCCTCGGTGAAGATGCAGGATATATACCTAATGTAGATGCGTTGTCATCACCTAGGATTGTTTTATAATAAATAAGAGACAAAAGAACCAATAGTCTATCTGGTAAATAGTAGCAACCCATGAGTACTAACAACCAATTTAGAACAAAGAACGATACAAGTAGGCTTAACATGTGGAAACGTGCTGCAGCGGTAATACGCTGCAGTACGAATCGGTTGGTTCGACCGGGGAAGAACCAATACGGAAGATCTGGGTAGAATACAAAGAGATTTAAAAGTTTAAAGAGCGGTCATTGGGAACATTGACATACAAAAAACACGGACGAGTTAAAAGCATTTGTATGACAATAAAAATGAATAGCAAAATAAGTATTATAATAATTAGAACACACTTAAGAAATTAAAATTTCGTTTGTTGTTGTTCTATTGTTAACATGTGTTTTTTTTATATACTACCCTAATATCGTTACAAAATGAGGTACCTATAACCGTACAAGAGATGGAAAAACTACAAAATCCTCTTTTTTGTTATAATTTTTTAAAGAAACCATTAGGTTTATATTCTTAATCACAAATAAAAATGACCCATAAAAAATAAACCCTATAGGTTATTAAAGCATGTTCCTTAATTAAAAAAAAACATGCGTGAGTGTCGTGGAACACTCGGTTGGAACGAAGTTCCTTTCGTGGTATTTTTTAATACTAATAATGCTATTTAACATTACTAATATTCCCTTAAACCACTTCTAGTAAGCTTAAAATACTTGTGTTAGAAGTGGTTCACAACAATAGTCGAATGGCGGATTCGAACCCACAACATTTCGCCCTTCCATTAGGCTACTGAAGCTTCTAATATATTATTATTCATAAACGTATTATATTATTGATAAACAAATACAAGTAAATTAATTACTAGCGTCTATGGATATTACTCCATATCGCTCCCTTATAGCCGCCAAGGCCGTCTACACTACGTCAGAATGGGCCATGACGGAAAAATATTTTACTTTTTTTCGCCTAGCCCCCATCCGTCAAATTCGTACCATCCGATAGAGAACTTCGTTCCAATATGCACAAGAAAAAAAAATGCAAAATTTTAATGCTGCATGTTTCTTGTAGTAAGTTACAAGAACCGAAGTCACTTTTTACTGATAAAGAGGCAAAATGCAAATTTAGGCCTTAATGCATCTGCATATTATGATTCTTAATCAAGCATATGGGTAGGGTAGATAGGACACCTACCAATACCATCCTCATACCATACCCAGGTAGACTGTGGCTTGTCTATTACTACAAAAATATTTTTACGATCTGTTTTGCATTACACGATATGCTTAATATTAGACGTGGTAGAGCCTCGCTGCAGCTGTATTTTGGTTGTGGCACGGGCTGGGGTAGTACTACGCTCTCACAATACTAGTGTAAAATACGCTAGGTACTGTTTTACGCTGGCATTGTGAGGGCGTAGTCATTAAGCTAATGCTATTGTGTTGGAGACCCTTTTTACTGGATACGAGGTATTCTATCTTAGTCCTCAGGGGTGCCAACGCATCTGTATTTTGATTTGTAATCGAGGATAGATGTAGATGTATATGGGCCACATCAACCACTTACCATCAGGTGGACAGTGTGCTCGCTTGCCACCCTTATCCTATAAAAAAAAGATACCATTCCTAGTGGCTATTCCCATAGTCACGTCTTACGTCGTCACCACACGTCAATAACAAACTGTTTATGATATGACATAATTAAAAAGTGTGTACAAACGGACCGAGGGACTTTATTTCAAAATACAAATTGATCTAGTATCGATTAAAGTAAAACATATTCATAATAATTTTCCATTAAAAACGTTATCTATACCTAAAACAATATTATTGTTATGCGTATGATTCAGGAATCAACTTAGATAATAATGATATTTACTCATAAAAATAAATCTCTTTATATAAAAATCAATAGCTGTCCGTTAGTCTCGCTATAACAAGAAACTGGCTCGACCGAGTCTGATAAAAAAATTGTGTGTATTTCAGTGGATCCCTGGATAGTTTAAATTTGCAATAGGACCAGGTAGGTGGCGCTGTTGTCGAGACCCAGAAGTAACACGTGCGAAGCCGGGGCGGTTCGCTAGTAATTAATATAATTCATACTATGAAGACCGCTTCATAGTCCGATAATATAGGCATATCAGTCTTTAGAGGTGAGGTATCATCACATCAATTTCTTTGTGTGTAGTCGGTTGCAGGTGGCATTGTTAGCATCAGATTATGTACTCTCTACGTAAGTATCGAATAGTCAATTTGATGGTTACTGGATGATCTGACTCTCGGACGCCTCCATCAATCCTCAAAAAAGTTAAATCAATGCAGATGGGTTGAGGACTACGGACCAATACCTCGTTACAAGTTAGGGGACTTTCGGTTTCCATCACTCACCATACCGTTATTATACCCACGTCCCATTTTTTGATATTTTTTTTTTTATAAAATTACAGTTGTATGAATAAAATTTTTCAACTGTTTCACTTTTATATTCAGTCAGGTTTTGTTTGATGGATAACCTTTTGGTACTTGTACCATCCACAACGATAAACGAGAAGCGAGTAGAGCTAGAAACTGGATAAGAGCTGGCTAGCAGAGAAAAGGAGTGTGTAGTTTCGATAGTTTTATCGCTGGACTATAAGCGAGTGTACGAGTGCGACGGACGGTTACTCACACCATTCGCTCAGGGCGACCGAGACCTACATTCTTGCATGCACTCAGATCCACACTATAGACTAAAATAACCTCTGGTTGGTCTCGCGGCGTGAATTCTGACCGCCAAACGAGCGATATAAAAACACAATGTATCTCACAAGTAATACATATTTTATTAAATCAGATTGTTTTGTGCGATTGCCAAGTCAATCTTTGTATTCAAAACATAAAAGATTTTTAATATTTATATGGTCAGTATAAGATGTTGTTAGGTTAGCTAATTACGTAATAACTTGAAACAGAAGGCCCCTTAAGAACTGAATAAATTAACCGACTTGGTATTTCATGGATCTCACAACTTTTTACGGAAAGAAGAACGAAGTTGCGAGACTTGGTTTTTTTACAAGTTATGTTTTTGATGGCATCTCATTTTTTTTTTTGTAGATAGTCCTACTTGTTTTCCTTTCCGGTACCCTTGAATAACAACTACAGATTTTCGGGCAATTTAGTCTACTTAATACTTTGTGGGATTTTGGTACAACTTCTTAAGACATGTCTCATTCTTTCTTTTTCATTCCGTTGACCATTTTACAAGTTACCTTTCAACATAATTATATCTATGTACCTATCTATATCTATTATTCCAATATATTATACATATTCAGGTACACTAATTCATTCACTGCAAATGTAACTTTGTAATCCTATATATTTATATACGTTTACAAAGTTATTTATGCAGTTGGTGTATCTAGAAAACTGGACCCAAATTACAAAATATTTAAATTTTTCCTTAATTTATATACTAAACACTAATTTTATTCTAAATTTGAAGCTTCTACGTCTGCTAGAAGTACCTTAGAGTTTTGATGATCGGTCAGTCAGTGAGTGACAAAATTAAGAAACTTTGACAAGTTATAATTCATAAACTACTGATTCAAATTGAATGAAATTTGAAATATACGGTGTTTATGCAATGCATACTTGGTTGCTGAAAATTTAGGCTAGTTTAATTCATGTTTCAATTCTAGTTTAATTCACATCGAAGTTATAGTTAGGGGGTCGAAAATGGCCTGAATTGCTTCGAGAAAAGGATGGTACGGCCGTGCGGCTTTTTTGCTCGAATTGGCGGGGGCACTACCGTGCCCCCAGATCGTTCGTTTTTTGAACTAGAAATTAGTCGATAGCTAATCGCTTCTTCGTCGGCAATGAGACAGGTGTCTTTATCTGGTGAGTGAGAAATCGGCAATTAGTGAATAAATAGAAAATTTTTGCTTCAAATATGTCTGCTAACATTGTGCTTAGTCGTTAATTTTAGGATCAAATTTTAAATTTCCATTATCTTTGGGGATTTTTAAGCAAAAATTCTCTTTGTTAGAAAAAAGAACGAACCGTACTAACGTAACCATTGTATTTATATGAAATCAAAAATTTTGTCTATAGCTTCGTAAGGTGATTAAAAATTTAAGTATTCATAAAAAACCTTGATTCAAATAAAAATATTGATTAATTAAAAAAAAACTTGGAAATAGCGATTGCATTCAATAATAACGAACAGGAGGTATCGCAGAAAGACACTAGTCTAGAAATGTGCAACTAAATTTTATTAGTTCATAGTATATCATATATCATTACTTTTAATCAGATTGTAACGTTTCAATTAGCTGAATACATACATAAAGCATTAAGTTAATGTTTTTGAGGTGAAAAAAGATTAGCTAAGAGTATAAAAAAGTCATTCACACTTAAAGTCTATTCACAGTTTTAGCAAAGAAAATATACACTACGCGAAGTTTTAGTAAACAAAATGGAAGGTTTGTAGTACTACAAATTTTATACTACTTTCAAACAAATGGAGGGAAATAAGTTTTAATTTTTTTCCAGTGGCCGTTACAATTTTATTCGTGGCAGCTGTTTTAGCAGTAGAAGATATCGGTCCTTGTCCTAAAGAACAAGATGGAAACTTTAACATCGAACGCCTATTACCACATAGTGAATGCAACAAGTTTTACAAATGTATTCAAGGCGAGCCCGTAGAAATGTTTTGCGCTGACGGACTTTTCTTCAACTCAATCTTTCGATATTGTGATTGGGCACCCAATGTTGATTGCGGGGAAAGAACGGTCCCTACTGGAAAGGTACTTGCAACTAATCAAGTAGATGAGCAGAAACTAGAAGCAGAAAGTGAAAATCCAGAAGCCGCTGAAATTGAATTTCTCGAAAATGGTTGTCCAGTAGACCCTGTTATACATTGGCTTTTGCCTCACGAAAATGACTGCTCCTTATTCTTTTATTGCGTTTGGGGCGAAAAGGTTCAAAGATCGTGCCCGAATTCCTTGCATTTCAACAGAAAATTGCAGGTACGTTATATATTTATAAGAAACACAAATACTACTCACAGTAATCTATATCAAAGTAATAATAACGTCAGTGACAGCCTACCTGGTGGTAAGTAACTACTGCAGCCCGCGAACATCATTTCAAACATAGAAGCCTACAGATGCGTTTTCATCTCTGATAACTGAGATGGAATGTCTTACAGCCTGTAAGTATACTGATTCACTATACCATTCAGATCTAAACACATCAGTGCACGCACCGCCGCTTGGCAGCAGAAGTAGGTAAGAGGGTGGTATCTACTCAGACAGACTCCTAGCAAAAAAAGCCCTATTGTCTAGTGAAATATCAGAGTATATGTATAATATGCCGGATATCCTTGGCTTGAATCCCCGTTGGAACCAATAATTTTTTACTAATCGTAAGCCAATGCTTGACTTCATGATTATTATATTTGAACAAGAATATAGCCGCGTATCGATTACGCGCTCCAAGAGGTCGAACATTGGCGCGCGCTTCAGTCGCGCGAAATGGATACCGCCTTGGATTGCGCGCCAAATTGTTCGTTGGAGCGCTCGAACGTGGAGCGGGCTGCTCCATCTGGTGTCGATTTTTTTTACCGTTTCGGCGCGCGCGACATATGGGACAGCTGCTCGTACACAACCGACACCCACGTTGAACGGTCAAACACTGGAGCAGCTGCCGCGTGCGCCAGGAGCGCTTAGTTGATACACTTCGAACATTTGGAGCATGTTCCGCGGAACGCACTGATCGGAGCGGTCATTCAAGGCGCGCGCGCCAGCAGCGCGTAATCGATACGCGGCTTCAATATTATTTGGTTTCCAGTTCTAATTAAGGATCAGTCAGTAGAAGAACCGCGTTCCTGAACCACCTGCATCCATCGACTTCCTGAATGTCTTACTAGGTCATCACATCATTTAGTTAGGTAGGTAGTAGGCCACCCTACTTTTTGCTTACCGGTACGAGGCCACCACTCGAGAACCTTCCCTCCCTATCGGTCGGTTCTTCAAGCTATATAGCCTACTAATGCCTTTTCTGCTTACTTATTCGTTGAGCTATATCGGTTATTCGAGTTCTGTCGTAGATACCCCATTTTGATAGATAGATATAGCTGTCTCCATAGCTCAATGAGCGACTTTAAGCTTCCTGGACACTGTTGCCCGTATAGGACAACAGTGTCCACGTAACTGGTAACAAGCACAGGTTGTACATTCCTGCTTGAAAGTTTGGAGGTATACGTGGCGAGAAAATGTGTCGTTATCTCCCAATCGCCGCCCATACGAGCTGCGTCCGTCTATTGGCCCCTTGGTCAAAGTTGGACTTATCTAGTCCGACAATTTGTCTTAGGTAAACATACTCGTCAACAACTTCAAACGTAGCATTCTCAAAAATACCGACATTTTCATTTTTACTAGGAACAAGACTGTATTTTGATTCTTAATCAGCTTACACTTTCAATCATGTGGTGGTGGTTATCACATCACAGACGATACATACGGGACGAAATCAGGTGATGCCTCTGCTTAGTCTTCGATCAGTCAGTTAGAGATCAGAGTGGCGATTACAACAAATATTTCCTATAGCGAAAGGTGTCTTGTTAGTCTGTTCAGGGCTGATAAAGAATATAAAAAAAAAGTGAGAGTTGCGCAAGCAAGTATATGTCCGCGGCGCTCCCAATGCATATTTTTTTGACAATTTATTTTATTTTATTTTATTTTATTCGTATGGTTTACTAACAGTCAAGTTAGTTAATCAGTGTTTGCGAACTTAATCTGTTTTTAAGGTGTTTCGTTTTGTTTGTTTTTGTATGTTTTCCTTCACCGCCAAGCATGTGGTAAACCAGATGTTAAAATTGCAATTAACGAATTCACTGGTGCCGGTGGAAATTAAACCTAGGTTGCTCACGTACTACACAAAAAAGTGGTAGCTAAAGCCTTGAGTTCTTCTATCCACGTTAGAATATAATCAGATATTTTTTTTTTCCAGTAAGTTAAGATCTTTGATATAACGGATTTACGCAAAGCAACGCTTGAATATTTTATTCCAGGTTTGTGACTGGCCCCAATTTGCTGAATGTACAGTGAATGACATAACAGGTACAAGCACATTCGTACCGACGATACCACCGAGGGACAGCCGTTGAAGAAAACGCCTTTTTCTTTAATTTATTCATAGCTATATGATGACCATAGCTAGTGTCCGGATATTTTATATTATATACTCTAAAATGTTATCTTGAATAGTTATGTATGAATGTAAAATTATTAAAACGTTCTATTGAAATAAATTAATTTTTTTAAGCTAGAAATATTCTCATTTACGTTACTTAGCTGCAATATACAATAAAACAATAGAATAGAATAGAATAGAACGGTTTTTTAATCAATATTGATTATTACATAATACATATTGATAGTATTTTTTTATTTACCACTGGTTCGGATAATACCTCTGTCCTGGGAAGAACCAGAAAGAAACCCAGGTGGACTCTTTTTTAAACATTATTCACTTAACAATAAAGTTGTTTATACAATTTTTAAATGAATTTTCATAGAAGCAGCACGGTGGCAATCACCTTATTCCCAGGGGTTATTTTCATTCATGTATTCCTTGATATTATAATAACCCTTTTTGTACAGTTTTTCTCTAATAAAACTTTTAAACTTGTTTATTTACAAACTTTGAACATGTTCTGGGATTTTTTTGTAAAAGCGTATACATTGCCCCATAAATGAATTACTGATTCTGTGGAGTCTAGTAACTGGCATTACAAGCTTATGTTTGTTCCTAGTGTTTAAGGTATTTTTATTAAAGCTATTTATGTTTTTATGTACATACATTACATTTTTATAAATATATTGCGATGCCAAAGTTAATATGTTTATATCTTTAAAATTTTCTCTGAAGGACTCTTTACAATTTGGGTTATTAATCTCTTTTGCACAACAAATATAGCTTCAATATCAGTCGCATTACCCCATAGCAAAATTCCATAAGACATTACGCTATGAAAGTAACTAAAATAAACTAATCTAGCTGTCTCAACATCTGTGAGACTTCTAATCTTTCTTACAGCATAGGCTGCAGAATTAAATCTGCTTGCTAATTTAGATATATGGGGGCCCCATTGCAATTTCGCGTCAATATTAATACCAAGAAAAACAGTGGTATCCACAAGACTCAACTCCTCCCCATTTAAGAGCACATTGGTATTCGAATGTTTTACAAATATTTTTATGTAATAAGTTTATATATTATATTTATATAAAATATAATAATTGTTTTTATATGATAGTGTGACAAACGAGCACACAGTCCACCTGATGGTAAGTGGTTGCTGTGACCCATAGACATCTATCTACATCTATCCTCAATAAAGAATCAAAATGCAGATGCGTTGTCACCAGTGAAGACTAACATGGAATACCTCTTTTCCAGTAAAAAAGGTCACTGGTTCTCTACACTAACCATACGAAACACAGCAGTGTTGTGCTGCTATTTTACGCTAGTATTCTGTCCCCGGTCGAGCCGACCCATTCGTGCTACAACTATACTACTAACATAGCTCCAGCATGGCTCTACCACGTATAAATAATATATTTTCACACGTATTTCTAAATTACACGTTCATTGTTTTCCTTCTAAAATAAATAAATAAATGATTTAGTGGTGTAATAGTGTTGTACTTGTCCTCATATTTGATAGCTTCAGGCGGTATTTTTATGGTGCCGCCATCATTTTACGTGATAGAGCGACGCTGCAGCTAAGTTAAGATTATAGCACGAATGTGTTGCCTCGACCGTGGAAGGACCACGCTATCACAGAATAACCAGCGTAAAATAGCAGCTTAACGCTGCTATGTTTTGTATGGTGAGTGTAGAGAACCGGAGACTCTTTTTACTGGAAAAGATGCATTCCATCTTAGTCCTCACGGGTGACAATGCATCTGCATTTTGATTCGTAATCGAAGACAGATGTAGATGTTTATGGGCCACAGCAACCACTTACCATCAGGTAGACTGTGTGCTCATTTGTCACCCTTATCCTATAAAAAAAGTTAAAATTGGTCATCTTTCTTCAGGCTTTGCGCGGATGATTTCTGGATCTCGGCAACAGCACCACCTGCCGGATCTTTGATTTGATTCTCTTCAAATACACACAAAAAAAATCATCAAAATCGGTCGAGCCATTTTCGAGTTTTTGCGAGACTAACGGACGGCAATTGATTTTAATATTTATAGACATTACGATCCTCTTGCTAGTTTTATTGCTTATTCCACTAGTAATAGTATATAAATGTTTAAAAGTCAATTATGTAATGATTTCTTATATTTACACGAATACTTCGCATTAAGTTAAAAATAAATATTGCGTAAAAATTTTTAGCGTTAATGTTACAGCCTACTAAAGTTCACTACTGAACATAGACCTCCCCCATAGATTACCTCATTGGGAATATTGGGGATATTTGCCATAGTTGCCACGCTTGGTAAGCGGGGAAACTATGGCAAATATTTATATTTTTTTATCTTTAGTCATTGTTAGGAAGACGCTGCTGCCCAGCTCCAGATTTGTTTCCCTTTGTCGCCTCTTACGACACGCACGGAATGATATGTGATAGTAGATAATCTTACACCACCACCCAAACAAGGGACTGAGCTGTTTGACGTCCTGATGTCAATAAATATAATAAAAAAGCTGAAGGTAACACGGATTAACTATTACTTTATCTATTTCCAGCACAGGTGTGTCTCATTAATATTTCTTCTTTCTTCTTTCGGTCTTTTATTAGATATTAGTTTATCATGATTATCAACATTTCAATCACTAACCATCGCTGATAACAGATAAGGCCCATTGATTTTTTAAAAGAAATCCTTGATATGAATAAGTTTTACTTTAGAATTGCGCATCTACTCTAACGTTAATATGATGAAAGGTATCGTTTTTAAAGTTTGTTTATAAGTTATATCAAAAATGTATACAATGAAATAAAAATTATATTTAAAAAATGTTAAACTTTTTTTTCAGGTATTATATTATTGGTTTCGTTTCTCGCTCTCTTCGGAATTGGATATGCTGATAATCAGTGTCCTAAAGAACAAGAAACAAATTGGCAAATAGAACTACTGTTAAAGCACGAGGATTGTGATAAGTTTTACAAATGTACCTTGGGACAACCTATTGAGATGCGTTGCCCTGGTGGACTTTACTTTAATACCGAAATTTCACAGTGTGACTGGAAGGATAATGTTGATTGTAGTGGAAGAAATATGTCAGATGATAATAATTTAAAACCCGAAGAATCCGATGAATTAGGGACAGATGACGAATATCAAAATGAATCGGAAGAAATAGATGACGCTTCCGAGATGGTAGAAGATTCAGAGGAAAAGGACACTGATTTAGGAGGTGATATAAATTCTTCCCAAGAAAAGCCTGAATTATCAGAATTGGAATTCTTAGAAAACGGATGTCCAGTCAACCCACAAATACATTGGCTCTTACCTCATGAAGATGATTGTAATCTATTCTACTACTGTGTTTTTGGAGAGAAGGAACAAAGAAACTGCCCAAGTTCGCTTCATTTTAACAAACAATCACAGGTCAGTACAATATAATATGGTAAGTCTAAATTATCAATTAGTTATATCAAATGTATAGCATGACGTAATTTTATTGACAGGTTGAACGTAGAAGAATGACTGAAATATATAAGAATTTATAAATAGAAATCAACATCCTATCGAAAGCACAGCCTTAGAGCTTATCAAAACTCCCCTGCTAAACAAAGTATCCCCCATAGATAATCTCATAGGGGCGGGCGGGGCGGGGTAAGGGGGAGTGTGGGGCGTGATATTAGCAATAGTTGTCGCGCTTTACAGACAGGTTGGCAACCTAAAAAATATTAATAGTACCAATATGTCAAATATTTTATGATTCTACTACGTTTTAGGTATATCTAATAGCGTAATTTAATTACTGCTGAATACGACACGGACATGACACGGTATTTATCCAAAAGCAATAAAGCTTGTGATTTTGCACAAATGTTTTCTCCAAATGGAATCCAAACTTAGGGCCACGAAATACTCTTAACAGTTGGGTTTGGTTAACATACAATATATACGCAATCGTCTATATATTGTATATTAAATATAAACAGGCTACCGATAATATAAATGGCATTACATGTGAAGTAATTATTGATCATTTATTGGTTTTAAGCATAATAGGCAAAAACAATTTTGTACTTTTAATTATTAATAACTAATTAAATAATAAACTAATAATGTGAGCAATTGCGGATTTGAATTGAGCATTTAGTGAGCAATTAAGAGCACCTATTCATTAATCTGAGCGGTTATACTTCCAAGCCAACTTCTTTGTAGTATAGGCTATAACTTATTTTACAATTCAATATGTTTCTTTGTTTTAGGTGTGCGACTGGCCCGATGAAGCGGGATGTTCAAAGTCTTTAGAGGACAATACTTTTATTGAACACGAAATAATTAAGACAATTGAAACTGTGGTTGACATAAAATTGTAATACAATACACTGATGTTTTGGAAGAACTTGTTTTGAAGTTTAGATTTTAAAGCTTTTGGGAAAATGTAAATAAATTAAAACGAAATTGTTCATCACGTAATGAATGAAAAAAGTTTAATTTTTTTTAAACACATAATGATATTTTAAATTCAAAAGTTCATATTTACAAAGGAATGTAGAATTGTCATCGATATGTATGTACTACACACTAGATTTCGCATTCCGAACATTGACTATGTTCAACTGAACTGTACTGCAATCCGTACACTAAACTAAATATTGCGTAAATTGAAGATTTGTGAATTCAATAAGATAATTATTATTACATTTTATTTAGAAATATGTTTGTTTAGATTAAAATAAAAGTACTTTATATTAACTTCTTATATTTATTTTAAATTAAAGTCTTCGCGCATACGCGACACTACTATCTCCCGCGCATGCGCAAAGACATAGAGTAGCGCACAATTTTTGTATGGAATAGCTTCTCTAGTACGTAATACATATAACTCAATGAGAATTGTTAATGTTTTGCGTATCTATGGTAAATACTCGAAGTAATATTATTTGGAACGTAATGTCAAAATATTCGAAAACAGATAAGTACAGAACAGATAATAACTGTGGTAGAGCCACGCAGCAGTTTTTGCTGTTGCACGTATGGGCCGGCTCGAGCCGGGTTGGTACCACGACCTCACAGAATACCGGCGTGAAGTAGAAGCTCTACTTGTTTCGTCTGGTGAGTGCAGGTGGCCGGAGGTCCAATTCCCCCCCCCCCCCCCCATCAACATGGTAGCGGAATTACACGTTAGACTACCCCAGGAGGGTACCCGTACCCCCAGAGAATCCCTCGCTGAGCATCCACAACCATGTTATTCCAATCCTGAGCGTGGGTGCTCAGGCTGCCCCGCGTATTCTGGAGAGGGGGGGGGGCAAAATTCCGCTCAATAACATAACTGCTCGGAGCAAACTGAGCAACAATACCAAGGCGACCCCTGCCACGCTATCCGTGAATTTCTGCAACGTCAGGGGACTTCACTCTAACCTAAACGCCGTCCACTACCATTTCGAGACGGCGAAGCCGGCCTTGCTCTTTCTGACCGAGACGCAGGTTTCCTCTCCGGCTGATATTTCGTATCTCTCCTACCCGGGGTTTTGGAGCACTCCTTTGTGCCTCGGACTGGAGTTTGCGTGTATGTCAGAGAGGACATCTGTTCTCGACGTCAGTCTTGAAGGTTCGGACCTGTCCATCCTTTGGCTACGCGTAGACAGCGACGACCATCCGCGCGTCTACGGGTGCCTCTATAGGTCCCATAGCGGTAATGCCGAAACAGACCGACTCATCGACCACGTCCAAATGGCTACAGATTCCTTGCTACAACAGGTCCCATCCGCAGAGATCGTGATCCTAGGCGATTTTAACGCCCACCATGCCCAATGGCTCGGTTCACGTTTAACCGATCATGCGGGGAGATCTGTTTATGACTTTTTTTCGCCTACGCGGATTCCAGATGTGGAGGATCATACACCTTCCCTGTTGGACCTTCTGCTGACCTCTCATCCAGACGGATGGCAGGTTTCCGTCGATGCCCCTCTCGGCTCTTTGGACCATTGTCTGATCCGGAGTATGGTGTCACTCACGCTCCCTTCGCGGTTGCGTTCTGCAGGTTGCCGCCGTGTTTGGCATTACAGATCGGCGGATTGGGACGGAATGCGGTATATCTTTACATCCTACCCATGGGGGCGGGTTTGCTTCTCGCCGGATGATCCCAGCGCTGTTGCTGACTCTGTCACTGATGGGGTGCTACAGGGAATGGAACTATTTATTCCATCATCTGTGGTACCCATCGGAGGCAGATCTCAGCCTTGGTTTGGTCGCTCCTGTAAGACTGCATTACGCAGTAAGCAGGAGTGTTATCAAGCCTGGGCTGCGGCTTCGGTGACTCGGGATGTAAACACCAGCACACTTATAAAGAAGTATAACTTCGCCTCTAGGTCCTTCAAAAGAGTTATTGCCGAGGCAAAGTCAGAGCACATAGGCAGAATTGGCGAGAAACTAGTTCGTCTTCCTTCGGGAACCCGTGCATTCTGGTCTCTCGCCAAGGCTGTCCATGGGAATTTCTGTAAGCCATCACTACCATCTCTGCACAGGGAGGACGACTCACTGGCCCAAGACGCAAAAGACAAAGCCGACCTTTTAGGCTCCCTCTTTGCATCCAACTCGACTCTTGATGACGGAGGGAAAACACCGCCGACCATCCCGCGATGTGAGTGCTCCATGCCGGATGTGCTGTTCTCACAGCGCTCGGTTCGCAAAGCACTTCTCTCCCTGGACATCCAGAAGTCAAGTCATCAAGTGGGCCTGACGGAATCCCCCCAATTGTGCTGAGGACGTGTGAGTTGTGACTCCGGAGTTGGCACCGGTCCTAACGCGTCTTTTCCGGTACTCCTACTCCCAAGGCGTAGTCCCGAACTCATGGAAGACAGCTTTTGTTCACCCGATCCCTAAAAAAGGCGACCGCTCAGACCCGTCCAACTATAGGCCTATCGCGATCACCTCCTTGTTCTCCAAAATAATGGAATCCATTATTAACTGCCAGCTCATCCGGTACCTTGAGGATCACCAGCTGATTAGTGACCGCCAATACGGTTTTCGTCGGGGTCGATCAGCTGGTGATCTTCTGGTCTACCTGACCCATAGATGGGCGGAGGCAGTACAGTCCAAGGGGGAGGCCTTGGCCGTTAGTCTGGACATTGCGAAGGCCTTCGATCGGGTTTGGCACAAAATGCTTCTTTCGAAGCTCCCTTCCTATGGGCTTCCCGAGAAATTGTGCAATTGGATCACCAGCTTCCTTGCAGATCGGAGCATGAAGGTCGTTGTAGACGGTGCATGTTCTGACTACAAGCCTATTAACGCTGGTGTTTCACAAGGCTGTGTGCTATCACCAACGCTGTTTCTTCTGCATATCAATGATATGTTGCTAACTGGTAACATTCATTGCTATGCGGATGACAGCACTGGTGATGCTCGATACACCGGCCGTGCCAATATTTCTCGGGAAAACGTCACCGAGTACCGGAACAAACTTGTGTCTAAAGTCGAGTCTTTGCTGAACAAAGTCTCGGATTGGTGGCGTCTAAATCTAGTCCAGTTTAATCCTCAGAAGACACAAGTTTGCGCGTTAACCGCTAAAAAGTACCCCTTTGTCGTATCTCCTCAGTTTCAAGGCACTCTCCTTCTTGCCTTAGCCAGTATCGGTATCCTCGGAGTCGACATATCGAGTGACGTGCAGTTTCGTGGTCACTTGGAAGACAAGGCCAAATTGGCCTCTAAAAAGCTTGGCGTGCTCAGCAGAGCGGGACAGTATTTCATGCCGGCACACCGCCTGCAACTTTACAAGGCGCAGGTTCGGCCTCACATGGAATACTGTTCCCATCTCTGGGCAGGGGCTCCCCAGTGCCAGCTTCTTCCACTTGACCGCATCCAGTGCAGAGCGGCTCGAATCGTCGACGACCGAGCCTTTTCCGATCGGCTCGATTCATTGGCACTGCGAAGAGATGTTGCATCCCTTTGCATTTTCTTTCGCATCTAGGAATTGTTCGAATTAATCCCAGCCGCCATATTTCACGAACGCACATCGCGGCAGAACTCCCGATACCATCCACACCATCTGGATGATTGGCGGTCCACCACTGTGCGATTTAGAAGATGTTTTCTTCCTTGCACGACTTCCTTGTGGAATCGATTACCATCAGCGATTTTTCCGGACCGATACGACTTAGGGACCTTCAAGAAAAGAGCGTACTCCTTTTTAAAATGCCGGCAACGCATCTGCAATTCCCTCCCTGGTGTTGCAGTTCTTCATGGGCGGCGGTAGTCACTTACCATCAGGTGAGCCGCATGCTCGTTTGCCCCATCTCCTATAAAAAAAAAAGTTAATTATACTCGCCGTTCTCGCGGCGACGACGCTCGCGAGGACGTGTTGGCTTACCATTTCTTGCAAAAAGAAATACTTATGGATTTACTTTGGTATCTGTCACGATACTTTAGCAACCATTCGGTGTCAGATACAGTCACAGACATCTGACATCTAAATCCATGGATACACTACTATTATTCACTTTTTCGTTTTGCGTTCTAGTGTATGGGCTGAACAGAAAAAAAGATTTTTAGTGTTCATGGTGGTTGAGCAATTTAAAATTTTTGTTTAGTTACCTATTGTTAAAATTGTAAATAACCTACATAAAATAAAAAAACTAAAGCTTTTCTTTATTTTATTTTTATTTTTGTGTAACATTTAAAATACGTATAGTATCATACATACCACACTCTTTGAGTATATAAAGCATTAAAAACTAAAACATTTTTTTTAATCTTATATTATTACCTTGGTTGAACACTACCGGTGTAAAAATCCTATGAAATTACGCAAATGCTTAAAAAATATGATTTTGCACGTAATATGATAATTAAGCACACGTTATTTAATTATAGGATTAAAGAAATTACTTATCAGAGTAATATAGAAAGGAAATACATTTCTAAAACTATATTTACACTCAGTACATTAGTGTTCGCGCAAGCACAAACCAACTTACGGTTTTCCTTACAACCCCGCATGTAATGTAATGCGGTAAGCTTGGAGAAAAGATGGGCTATACGGGAACGAAAATAACTTTTTTGTAATTATTTTTTGGTAAGAAGAAATAAGAATCGTTTTGATATGGCCGAGCCAAAAGTTTTCTACAGCGGGAGAGTTCTAGAGTAGGCTTTATCGAGCTTGTTCAACTTAAGCGTGACCTAATATGATCGTGGTGAGAGAGGGCACTGCACCGCCTGTGTAAACATCGTCTCTGTGTTTATAAATTCAGTAAAAAGTTATTTTAAAAAAATAAATGTGTATTTTACGTTTGTGTTCTTTGTGTATATGTGGACTGTAACTGCAAGTGTTATCTCAATAGTACGAGATTTAATTATCACAATAATATGCAATAAGTGTACCTACAGTGATCTAACGACAAATTAAAAAAAAATTATACTATAAAAGCTCAATAAAAGTGTACAAAAACATTCTGTAACTAGTGCTTCAAAAAAATAACATTCAAACCTTAAAGAAATTAATAAATAAGTAAAATTAAACAAAAAAAACTTTTAAAAGTGGCAGTTGAATAATTTAAATTGATTAGGACGCTAAAATTGCTATCATAAATCAATGGCGACATCTATTGTCAATGTTATGTACTGCTATTGACTTTACAATATAGTTATACAGTTTTTTTTTTACTGACTGCAACATAGAGGGCGGTTTAAAAAAAATGAATACTATGCATCTAGAGAAATATTGTTTCAACCTAGGACTAAGTTGTCGATTTCATATGGTTTAAAACTGACTCTTATTTTGTATGTGAACTTTGTAACTCTAAAATGACACCACATTATAGTGCTAATAGTGAAGTGATTTTCTGAAGCGGGAGCACCCCCTTCGAGATATAAACACTTTTTTTTTATTTATCTTTTTGATAATTTTTACTCTTTTTTTTTAAAGGCGAGTGCCTTTTAATATTAGGAGTATCTAATTAGCGAGATGGCTACTACAACTAAGGGTCTTGCCAGTGAGGCCACCTCCACCCTCCTGCCGGCCTATGTTGAGGAAATAACCGACATGGACACCTTTGTTACGACTATCCAAAAACTCACCGAGTGCATTATCAAAGCGGTCTCTGGCGGCAAGTCCGTCACTGCCGCAAATAAGAAACTCATCAACCTAGCAGCCGAGGAGATCAGAAGGTGTGGGCATAAACTAACCAGCATGTCAACAGTGTTCGCCCCTGATAACAACCCATCCCAGAGCAAAATGGACAGCGACTTAAAGGCTGACATTGTCGCCTGTGTTAGGAGCGAGATGGCCAAATTAAAGGGCCAAATCTCCACGCAGCTTCAACAGCAGGCACGATCTGCCTCATACGCCCAGGCCGCTGCGACTAGCAGAGGGCCAGGCACTCATCCTAATATGACTGCTGGGCCACCAGCCCGCGATCCACCTGTCAACAAGCCAGCCATCGTGGTGACTCCAAAGGTAACCCCCAAATCTCGGCAGGAAGCAATCGAGGCATTTAAGAGGAGCATCTCATATCGAACTGCAAATTATGCGCCGGCTAGGGTTCAGGCAGTGTCAAATCACAAACTCAGGGTTGAATTTGACACAACTGAACAACGTGACGACACCCTACAAAAACTCAAATTATCTGAGCACGTTAGCGTTGAGCCGGCTAAGGGACTGCGGCCAATGATTGTACTAAAGGGTATTTCCAAAGATATACCAGCTGAAGAGATAGTTGGTATCGTCAGGAGGCAGAACCCAGAATTGAAAGAGGCTTTTACTGAGGAGGATGACATGCGTCTCCGTTTTAGGCGTAGTAACAAAAACCCGGAGCTATACAATGCAATATTTCTTGTGGCGCCCAAACTCTTCCATAAACTCATGGAACAGGGCAAGATTAACGTCGACTACCAGCGACTGCACGTTAGCGAATTCTCACCCTTTCTACAGTGTTACAGAGATGTCTGCAGTTTGGGCACATTAAAAAATACTGTACGGCTACTACTAGCCAATGCTCTCACTGCTCCAGGAAGGATCACACGGGGGACAAATGTCCTGATAAGGAAAAACAAGGCATAGTCAAATGTGCCAACTGTACATTTCACAAAGATAAATTTGGAACCAAGGCGGATGTCCGCCACTCTGCCATGTCACCAGAATGTCCAAAACTAAGAGCGATGAGGGAAAGAATAAATAACAGAATCGACTATGGATTTAATCAATAAAAATATTAAAATTATACAGTGTAATATTGACCGTTCAAAAAAAAGTTTACACGAATTTATTATTTTTTTCATGGCAGGTGATTTTCAAATTGCGTTGCTGGCGGAGCCATATGTTGGCTCAGGAAATGAGGTGCGACCAATTCAGGGCCTCAACATATACCAATTTAGTCAAAAAGGCAGAGTCAAGGCTTGTATACTCACCAAACGAGGTTGTGGCCAGGTACTAGGCATGTCACAATACTCCAACACAAATTTTTGCGTTATTCAATTCACGAGCGGCGGCCAAAAAATGCTAATAGCTTCCGCATATATTGAGCCGGATTCTGACGGCAATAATACTTTAGAGCACATTGATAATTTTCTCCAAACCTCCCGATGCCCCAATACCATTATAGGTGGTGACTTCAATGGATGGCATCACATATGGGGCAGTAAGACCAACAACCCCAGAGGATGTGCGGTGGTGGAGCAGGCATATGCAAATGACCTCTTCATCTGCAATATCGGCAGCTCACCCACTTTTGAAACCGTCACACACGGCAGGGATCGGACTTCTATAATAGACCTCACATTGGCGCATGGATACATATATGACCGTATAGTCGGGTGGAAGGTCAACCTCAACGCCTGCCCCTCGTCGCAACACAACGCTGTGGAATACGAGATTGAAATTGGGAATTCTTTCTCAAATTCGTCATCAATAACCAACTCCACATTTAAATATAACAGCAACAAGGCCAATTGGGGAATATTCAAGGATGCACTTCACACGCTTATGACCAACACAGACATATTAGAGAGAGACATCGGATCGCTTAATACAGCTGGCTTGGAAAACTTGATTGATGACATCTGCGAAGTAATTCATAAAGCGTGTGAAGAATCTATGCGGACAAAGAAAGGCCAATCCCTGACGAAGCATCGCCCGCTATGGTGGACGGAAAGATTGATGGGCCTCAAAAAGGAGGTCATCCAGTTACACCACCGACACAACCGAATGAGACGTCAGAATCTTCCTTTAGACCATTTGGCAGAGGAGTTAAAAAACAAAAAAGCATTATATGCGGAAGAACTGAGGGCGGAGTGTTCCAGGAGTTTTAAGGAGACAAACAAAAGAAAACGTTCGGACTCTCACGAATAGACTCCTGAAGGACACTGCACCCAAGCGACCACCAGCCACCATGAAAATTGGTGACAACTACACCAACAGCGAAATGGAGACTGTCCAAGCACTCTTGGATCACTTCTTCGATGATGATACACTGGATGATGACACGCACCAACACCAGTATCTTAGATCCAGAATCGGGAATGAGCCGGATGGAGTAGATGAACCTCCCTTCGCTGTTGAGGAGGTTTTAGAACATCTTAAGTGGATGAACCCCAAGAAGGCACCCGGCATTGATGGTCTTACATCTGACATTTGCCTACAGTTCACTATTAATTACCCAGAACTTATAACGGGAATCATGAACAGGTGTCTAGAGCTCCAACATTTCCCTCAACAGTGGAAAGGAGCGGTAGTCAAAATCATACCAAAGCCGAGCAAGACTGATTATAGCGAATTGGGCTCCTTCCGCTCAATAGGGCTATTGTCGGTCTTTGGAAAGTTGCTCGAAAAATAGTACATCAAGCGGGTCACATATTGTGCAACTAAGGCGGGACTATTCAACAGGCGTCAGTTTGGCTTCAAGGAACAGACCAGCACGACTGCAGCCATAGACACAGCGCTTAGCATCGTAAAAGCAGCTAAGAAGAAAGGTAAACAGGTGCTGGGCGTTTCTTCGGACATCCGCTCCGCGTTTGACAACGCGTGGTGGCCCGCACTATTTGAGAGATTATGTGCAATACGATGCCCTAAGAACATCTTTCATTTAATAGAGAGCTATATAACGAACCGCACAGTTACATTAGAATACGCAGGAGCGCGGGTCACTAAGCGCAACACTAAGGGCTGCAATCCAAGGGTCGGCATGCGGACCCATTCTATGGAACGTGATTCTGGATGAGTTACTTGAGGGTGAACTTCCAAGTGGATGTCATTTGCAAGCCTTTGCGGATGATGTCTTACTTATCGTCTCCGCAAAGGATGTAAATACTTTACAAACAAACACCAACCGTGCTTTGAAAATCATCATGGAATGGGGGCAAAGTGTCAAATTGACCTTCGGACCCACTAAGACGCAAGCGATTGCGTTCACGCGCAAGGCGGAGGAAGCCCACCTTATAATGGGGAGACACACTTTAGCATTTCAAAGGAGCATTAAGTTCTTAGGTGTGATCATCGACCGGAAGCTCCTATTCGCTGATCATGTTAAGTACGTTGTCGGAAAGGCGATGAGAATTTTCAACAAACTATGCATTTACACCCGACCAACCTGGGGAGCCCATCCTGATAACGTACAAACTATCTATCGACAGATTATTGAGCCTACAATTACATACGCGGCAGGCATCTGGGGTCAAGCTGCGAAAAAGCGATATGTAAGGAAGCTTTTGGAGTCGGCACAAAGGGGATTTGCGATAAAAGCAATCAAGGCCTTTAGAACTGTATCAACTGTGGCGGCAGTCGCCCTGGCTCAATTCGCGCCCTTGGACCTCAAAGTCCTTGAGGTACATGAAGTTGAGACAGTTCGACTACAGGGCACCAGCACCTTATTACCAAGGGATATACAATATGAAAGGCCCACTCCCGTACATGAGCTATTACATCCTTCAAAGAGGATAAGCATTGATTGTGCAGACCTGAAATCAGAGGATCAAGAACAAGAGACATCCCTTATTCAAATTTACACAGATGGAAGCAAGCTTGAGGATGGCAGTGTAGGAGCGGTTTTCGTCTGCTTTGAAGGCTCAAAAGAAATACATAAAAAATAGACTGAAACTACACACAAGCTGCTCTGTATTCCAAGCGGAGCTCTTAGCGATCAAAGAGGCCTGCGAGTGGACTTTGAACCGGAGATTGAATAAAGGTGATGAAACACATCAAAGAGGCAAAAGGATGCACACATGCCGAAAGGAGGTTATTCAGATCTTGAGTGATTCTCAGGCTGCATTAAGCGCACTCCAAATGAGATCCAACACCCACCCCATTGTCGTAAAGACCCATTATGTAATATACACAGCGGACCTTAATATCATGTTCTCATGGGTTAAGGGACATGCAGGCAACATAGGTAACGAAATCGCCGATGAGACTGCCAAGGGTGCTGCCACGCAACATAAAAACCCTGATTATGCAAAATTTCCGATGAGCTTTGTAAAAGGACTATGAGAGTAAACACTTGGAGAATTCGGCAGTCAAGATATGAAAGCGCTGAACAAGGAACGCATACAAAAGAAGTACTCCCAAAACTGACGGACATTTGTGCACTGTGGAAAGCAACCAAAGTATCATTTCAAATAACTCAGGTTTTAACGGGTCACGGCTACCACAAGGAATATCTGCATAGGTTCAAAATCGCCGCTGATCCCTTCTGCCCTTGTGACAATACCACTCCTCAAACAATTACTCATTTGTTGAGGGACTGCCCTAGGTTTGAGTATAATAGAATAAAACATGAGATTCTCTGTAGCAATTTACGTATACCACCATACCATCTGACGAAACTCTTGGATAAACAAAGTACAACTGAATCCTTCGTTATATTTACCAAATCCATTATAGATAAGCTTAAAAGATTCAATAAATTGTAACTAAAAGATATAGACAATGTGTATATATTTTCCCCTTAGTTACATATTTCAAGATAACATATATAATTATTACTCCTCCTTTCTAATTTTATCTCTATTCTTAAGGATACAATTTTAACTTAACTTAACTTATCTTCACGCATAATCCCTGACGGGGTAGCCAGAGAGAACAGATCGCCAAGTGTCACGATCCTTACAAACCTCTTTCGCTTCTTTCAGATTCATTATCTTCTTCATGCATGCACGTCTAGGTATCCGAGTACTCTTGACCCTACCCTCTTCGAGCAATTTGCTCACATGGTCTTCGAAAGTTAGTCTCGGTCTACCTCGACACCTTTTAATATTAACTTTCGCGCTATATATTTTCTTCACCATTCGGTCTTCACTCATTCGCTCAACGTGCCCAAACCACCGAAGCACGCCCTTATCAATTTTTGTGATAAGGTCATCTTTCAAACCTGCCATATTGCGAATCTCTTCGTTTCGCTTTCGGTCGGCCATGGTAACGCCGCACATTTTACGAAGAGATCGCATCTCCACTCCATTCAACTTACTTTTATGCTTCTTCTGGCATACCCAGGTTTCGCTGCCATATAACAAAGTCGGTACCAACACTGCGCTATGTATTGCAAGGCGTGCACTCTTCGCTACGCCCTGCCTTTTGACTAACACAGTGAGGGCACCATTGACATTGTTCCCGGTAGCGACACGCCTGTCCACATCTAAATCACATCTTCCATCCCGGCTAAAAGCACTCCCCAAGTATACAATTTCATTTACCTGTTCTAGACATTCCTGATTTACCCATATCTCACACTTCGTTCTCTCTTCGTCCCTTTCAAATACCAGAACCTTAGTTTTATTAGCATTCAAACGGAGACCTTTAGTTTCACATTCCTCTTTCATACACGTGACTAATGCCTGCAGTTCTGCCTCTGATGGTGCAATAAGCACTGCATCATCAGCATACAGCAGACAATTTACTTTTATGTCACCCAATTTCACACCCAAACAGCTATCTTTCAGCTTCTGTAAACAGCTGTCGAGATACAGTATGAACAGCCAGGAAGACATGACACAACCCTGCTTTACGCCTGTTTGGACGTTAAACATGGGTGACAGGTCATGGCCTACCCGCACACAGGCTTTACAGTCACAGTAAAGAGACTGCACAGCCCTTAGCAATCGACCATCCACACCATACCCCGGCAACAGTTCTCACATTTTCTTCCTTACAACCTTATCAAATGCTTTCTCAAGATCCACAAAAGCACAGAAAATCTTCTGGTTAGCAGCCAGAAGCTTTTCCGTGATTATGCGGAGAGAAAACATTTGATCCGTGCATCCTCTTCCAGGTCTAAATCCGCATTGTGCCTCCCATAGAAATCTTTCCGATTTCTCTTGCATCCTACGTGTCAAAACCTTCGAGTAAACTTTACTTGCTAAACTGGTCAAGCTGATCGCCCGATAGCACCCGCAGTCAAAATGTGAACCTTTACCTTTATATAAAGGCACAATGACTGCGGATCGCCAATCATCCGGGACATCCCCCGTCCGCCAGCACAAATTGCACAGCAGATGGAAGCTGTCCCAGACGCGAGGCCCACCATACTTGACCATTTCAGCAGTAACTCTGTCTAGTCCCGCAGCCTTACCACATTTCAAACTTCGAATCGCACGTTCAATCTCTTTCATACTGATGACCTCAGTGTCATCGAGGTCCGGGTCTGGCGTACCAGTCACGGCGTCATCCCCGGATCCCTCACTAAGATCATCACAAGCATACATTTCTCTATAAAATTCGCTCCATCGCTGCATGACGTCCGATTTTTCTGAGAGGACGTCATTATTTCTCGAAAGCACTTTGTTCATTCTTAAGGCCGTCGTACCACTTCGGGTCCTTCCAACCTCTTTCCAGAAGAGTTCTCCTTAAAGTTGTGCGACAACCTTTCGTCCGCTTCCATTCTACACCTTTCACGCACTTCCTCAATCAGTGCTTTCGTGTGAACTTTCTGCAGCCTATATCTTTCTTTCATCTTCTCTCTCATATCCTTGTCATTACTAGAGGCCAAGTAGTCTAACCATGCTTTCTTCTTCTTCTTTACAGCTTCTTTCACTTCATCATTCCACCATGCATCTCTTCTTTTACTACTGCCTCTTTTTATTGTTCCACACACTTCTTCCGCTGCACTTACCATTCCATCCCTAAGGTTCCCTAAGGTTAAGGATACAATAATATGTAGATTAAGCATTTAGGCTAGTTATTTTAAGTTCATTACCAATTGTATATACTCATAGCTATACACAACTTTATTATTATTATCTTTCACAAGCTAATCGCACTTGAACAATTTTATGACTCATAGATTCAATTTTCGACTATAAGATATTAATATTAATGATTGCTAACAAATCATAAGCTAAAGACAAATTATAAGCAATAGATATAAGAATACCCTGTATTTATATTTACTTATATTATTTTGTATTTCTATAGGCAATCCCTTTCATTTAACCTATGTTCATAATATTTTTTTTATAATTTGCAATTAAGTTATAATGTTTAGAGTATACATACGAACAATAGATCTTGCTTTGTTACTATTAATTTCATTTTGTGTAGAATAAATATGTAAGTGATAATATGATGAAGATTGATACCCCATCAATGTATCAAATCGCATTGATGTAGCGAGTTAACAATACAAGCAATATATTTTAAGCAATTTTATGTAAACCTCACTGTGTAAAACTGTCAATAAATTCCCAACAAGGACGGTTTACTCCTTGTTGGAAAATCAAAAAAAAAATATGATCGTGGTGTGTTACCACATTATTAAAGTTAAAACCTATAATACGTCCCACTGCTGGGCACAGGCCTCCTACTATTTCTAATACATTTTAAGGGCGATTATAACGGTCGTTTGAAAAAATACAAAAGTTATATCTATAATTTTTTGGCAGTAGGTCACTTAATATGACTGTAAAACATTAAAAGTGCTTAATTAAAAACAAATTAATCAACTATTAATCTTGTACAAAAATACTCAAGCATTGCAATAAATAAATGGCCAGTAAAATGGCTGAATGGTAAATAATTGGACTGTTGTCGGCGAGCGGTATCGTATGAAACTACAGAAGTATCACGAGCCTACCTCGTAATATTGGCAGGCGGAGCTGAAAAAATAAATGTAGGTAAAAAATTTGGAATCGAGCGGAGAAGACGGTTGGCGTGTCGGTATGGCGATGCGCCTCTCACCCTTTCTCTGTGACTCTTAAAGGGCTTCTGTGAGCCTGTAAATATGCGGCAAAGGTGGAACACCGTGAGGTTTTGTCGGAGATAATCCGACATAACACGCCCTTCCCCTGCGAAGCAGGTATGCGTAGGCATTTCCCTATTTAAATAAATAAATAAAACCTGCCAGCTGTAATTTGTAAAATATGATGAAATATCATACTTTACTGAATGATATCCTTTATAAATTGTGATAATAAAAATTGACTACGGCTTAGAACTGTTGCCGGTCATTGCAAAAAACAGATCGAGGCTGGAAAAATAGCCAAAATTCATCTGCAACACGAACGCATTGTTCGAGTTTTAGAGATCAAACTTGCAATGTTATCTGTAAAGGCACTCAGTGAAACCTCCATTGCCAATTTCACCTGATTGTGGTGTCCATTTTGTAACAGTTTGTAATAGTCGACGACATGATAAGCGCCTCATTCTTTTCTTTGAACAATGTCACTAGAGTACACAAATTACCGTTGTGTTGTGAATTTAATATAAGCGTCTATTTTAATATTCAAGTTGCATTATTTGAATATGCCCTTATGATCCGGAACAGACGCCCCGCTAAAGGCTGAAACCCTAAGTTTTATATATTTTCGTGTGAGGATCACGAACTTTCTGTCACGGAGGCCAGTCTCACTACTGTACTACTATTTTCTTTATATATTTTTAATGGTTCAAATATATCCGAATTTGGGATTTTCAAACCTTTGAAAATTCATAACTACGAAAATATTAACTTTATCGTAAAAAGTCATAGAACCTTTTTTATTCGTATTTCGTTAAAAAAATATTAAAAAATTGTCCAGTTTGAAAATAACAATTCTTTGCAATTGAAAAAAAAATCTGTTTAAACAATTTGGCACCGAATTGCCCCTGGGCAACGTGCATTTATATTATATCATCAGTAGGACAATTTGAAAAGAATCGCATAAAAAAATCTCTCACTCACAAACTCATGCGCCTAATCCTCCTGAACTAAAATGCATGCAGCGAGACTTAAGCAACTTCAAAACAACTCATATTGAAGAATATATCGAGAAGAAAGAGCAGAAGTAAGGCTCCAAAGTCTTTGCTATAGAACTGTTGCCAGAAAGAGCCAATGGTCAAAGTTGAAGACCGAATGTAAGGTACTATCCTTACCGGTTTTGTTCTTCAAGAAAGGCGACAATGCCCTGTTTGAAGAACTACAGACCGGATTCCCTCCTAAGTCGCGTCTACGAGTGTTATTATGTATCGTCTCGCACGCAGATTTGACGACTTCCAGCCTCCCGAACAAGCCGGTTTCCGAAAAGGCTTTATCACAAAAGACCACACGTACCCTTTGGCAAATCGTACAGAAGACCGAAGAGTACAATCTGCCACTTTGCTTTGCGTATGTGGACCTTGAGAAAGCCTTTGATTCCGTCGAAATTTGGGCCGTGCTGCAGTCCCTTCAGCGGTGCCAAGTTGACTGTCGGTACATCTAAGTGCTCAAGTGTTTGTACAGTAGGGTTGCAATAGCTATCCGAGTACAGAACCAGAGTATGAAACCTATCCAACTGCAGTGAGGTGTAAGACAGGGTGAAATTATATCCCCGAAACTCTTCATCGTTCATGCATTGAAAGACGTTTTCAAACTACTGGACTGGAAAGGATACGGTATTAACATGGAGAGTATGACTGATTTTCGATAGTCCTTATGGACGAATCACTGGAGGACCTATGCGCTATGCTCAATGACCTCAATAGTGCTTCCAACGGATAGGTCTTAAAATGATCACGGATAAAACAAAGGTTATGTGTGACGTTCATGTTACGCCTATGCCGATAGTTGTTGGGAGCACTACACTCGAAGTTGTGTCTATCGTATTCGTGTTAAACCACCATTTATAAGAAACTGGAGTCATGGATGTCTTTAAACTCCCGCTTTAGATTAATAGCGTGAATAAAACAAACTCCTTAAGTAACAATGCATTTTTTATTCATAATTCAAACAAAATAAATGCATATTACAAACAACATCAAAAATATAAAAGTCATCGTATTGAAAGTTATAACATATTTTTTTATGTTTTAATAGCTCGAGCAACTTAGGAGAACAATGGGATAGTAAAAATTATTTATGGTATGTATTATTTTTAATAATGTATGTTTTTTGGTAATGCAACTAATAACATATGCATTGTTTAAAAATAATCAAAATTACATTATACTAATAACTTATTAAAGCATAAAGTCCCTATGTGTGCTGCAAATATAGGCAAGTTATTGAATTCTGTTACCACAATCTACATTCTGTGCCCAGTCGCACCATTCGTGCACAGGATTGTATAAAAGATTTGGCGAACAATTAAAGACAACAGGTACACCTTCATAGCATTTGTAGAATTGGTTGCAATTTTCGTGAGCAATTAGCACTCCATCGGAACCTTCAGTAGCACAGATAGTAGGTGCTTTACTAGGATCACTGTTACCAGATTCAGGTTTGTTATCTTCAGCATCATTATTTTCCTCATCATTGTCGGATATAATACGATTACCACAATCTACTTTATCTGGCCAATCACATCGCTCAGTATAAGGGTTGTACAGCAGATTTACTGGACAATTTTGAGCTACGGGCAAGCCATTAGAACATGTAAAGAACTGGTTACAATTTTCATGAGCAACAAGAACGCCTTCGGATCCGTCAACGGCGCAGATTGAAGCAGCTTCTCTAGGATTGCAGTTGCAAGTGTCACTATTATCGTTACCATTGCCTCCAGATTCACTACTACCACCTCCGCTTCCTCCTCCCCCACTGCCACTGTCTCCATTACCGTAATCCTCTGGAATTACTCTGTCACCGCACTGTACGTTTTCAGGCCAATCGCATCGCTCAGTGTACGGGTTGTAAAACAGATTTACTGGGCAACTTTGTACTACGGGCAGGCCATTGGAACATATATAGAACTGATTACAATTTTCATTAGCAACAAGAACACCTTCTGAACCTTCAGCGGCGCAGATTGAAGGAGCTTCTCCGGGATTACAGTTGCAAGTGTTGTTACTGTCTACACCGTTATCTCCGCCGCCTCCAGAGCCACCGCTTCCAGATCCACTACCACCACTTCCGCTTTCTCCTCCACCACTGCTGCTGTCTCCATTACCGCAATCCTCTGGAATTACTCTGTCACCGCACTGTACGTTTTCAGGCCAATCGCATCGCTCAGTGTACGGGTTATAAAAAAGATTTACTGGGCAACTTTGTACTACGGGCTGGCCATTGGAGCATGTATAGAACTGATTACAATTTTCATTAGCAACAAGAACACCTTCTGAACCTTCAGCGGCGCAGATTGAAGGAGCTTCTCCGGGATTACAGTTGCAAGTGTTGTTACTGTCGCTACCACCACCTCCAGATACACCATCGCCATTATCTCCACCGCTTCCATTGCCGCTGTCTCCATTACCGCTGTCCTCTGGAATTACTCTGTTACCGCACTGTACGTTTTCAGGCCAATCGCATCGCTCAGTGTAAGGGTTGTACAGCAGCTTTACTGGGCAACTTTGTACTATAGGCAAGCCATTGGAGCATTTATAGAACTGGTTACAATTTTCATGAGCAACAAGAATGCCTTCTGATCCTTTTACGGCGCAGATTGAGGGAGCTTCACCGGGATTGCAATTACATGTGTTGTTATTGACGCTACCCTCGCCTCCAGAGCCACCGCCTCCAGAGCCACCGCTTCCAGAGCCACCGCCTCCAGAGCCACCGCCTCCAGAGCCACCGCCTCCAGAGCCACCGCCTCCAGAGCCACCGCCTCCAGAGCCACCATCTCCGCTTTCTCCTTCGCCACTACCGCTGTCTCCATTACCGCTATCCTCTGGAATTACTCTGTCACCACATACTACATTTTCAGGCCAATCGCATCGCTCAGTGTAAGGGTTGTACAGCAGCTTTACTGGGCAACTTTGTACTATAGGCAAGCCATTGGAGCATTTATAGAACTGGTTACAATTTTCATGAGCAACAAGGATGCCTTCTGATTCTTTCACGGCGCAGATTGAAGGTGCTTCTCCTGGATTGCAGTTGCAAGTGTTGTTATTGTCACTACCACCGCCACCAGAGCCACCACCTCCAGTGCCACCGCCTCCAGAGCCACCGCCTCCAGAGCCACCGCCTCCAGAGCCACCGCTTCCAGATCCACCGCCTCCAGAGCCACCACCTCCGCTTTCTCCTCCGCCACTGCCGCTGTCTCCATTATCGCAATCCTCTGGAATTACTCTGTCACCACATACTACATTTTCAGGCCAATCGCATTGCTCAGTGTAAGGGTTGTACAGAAGATTTGCAGGGCAACTTTTGACTACGGGCAAGCCGTTAGAGCATATGTAGAACTGGTTACAATTTTCATGAGCAACAAGGATGCCTTCTGATCCTTTGACGGCGCAGATTGAGGGTGCTTCTCCGGGATTGCAGTTGCAAGTGTTGTTATTGTCACTACCACCGCCACCAGAGCCACCGCCTCCAGAGCCACCACCTCCAGAGCCACCGCCTCCAGAGCCACCGCCTCCAGAGCCACCGCCTCCAGAGCCACCTCCTCCAGAGCCACCGCCTCCAGAGCCACCGCCTACAGAGCCACCGCCTCCAGAGCCACCTCCTCCAGAGCCACCGCCTCCAGAGCCACCGCCTCCAGATCCACCGCCTCCAGAGCCACCACCTCCGCTTTCTCCTCCGCCACTGCCGCTGTCTCCATTATCGCAATCCTCTGGAATTACTCTGTCACCACATACTACATTTTCAGGCCAATCGCATTGCTCAGTGTAAGGGTTGTACAGAAGATTTGCAGGGCAACTTTTGACTACGGGCAAGCCGTTAGAGCATATGTAGAACTGGTTACAATTTTCATGAGCAACAAGGATGCCTTCTGATCCTTTGACGGCACAGATTGAGGGTGCTTCTCCGGGATTGCAGTTGCAAGTGTTATTATTGTCACTACCACCGCCACCAGAGCCATCGCCTCCAGAGCCACCACCTCCAGAGCCACCGCCTCCAGAGCCACCGCCTCCAGAGCCACCGCCTCCAGAGCCACCTCCTCCAGAGCCACCGCCTCCAGAGCCACCGCCTCCAGATCCACCGCCTCCAGAGCCACCGCCTCCAGAGCCACCGCCTCCAGAGCCGCCGCCTCCAGAGCCACCGCCTCCAGAGCCACCACCTCCGCTTTCTCCTCCGCCACTGCCGCTGTCTCCATTATCGCAATCCTCTGGAATTACTCTGTCACCACATACTACATTTTCAGGCCAATCGCATTGCTCAGTGTAAGGGTTGTACAGAAGATTTGCAGGGCAACTTTTGACTACGGGCAAGCCGTTAGAGCATATGTAGAACTGGTTACAATTTTCATGAGCAACAAGGATGCCTTCCGATCCTTTGACGGCGCAGATTGAGGGTGCTTCTCCGGGATTGCAGTTGCAAGTGTTGTTATTGTCACTACCACCGCCACCAGAGCCACCACCTCCAGAGCCACCGCCTCCAGAGCCACCGCCTCCAGATCCACCGCCTCCAGAGCCACCGCCTCCAGAGCCACCGCCTCCAGAGCCACCTCCTCCAGAGCCACCGCCTTCAGAGCCACCGCCTCCAGAGCCACCGCCTCCAGATCCACCGCCTCCAGATCCACCGCCTCCAGAGCCACCACCTCCGCTTTCTCCTCCGCCACTGCCGCTGTCTCCATTATCGCAATCCTCTGGAATTACTCTGTCACCACATACTACATTTTCAGGCCAATCGCATTGCTCAGTGTAAGGGTTGTACAGAAGATTTGCAGGGCAACTTTTGACTACGGGCAAGCCGTTAGAGCATATGTAGAACTGGTTACAATTTTCATGAGCAACAAGGATGCCTTCCGATCCTTTGACGGCGCAGATTGAGGGTGCTTCTCCGGGATTGCAGTTGCAAGTGTCGTTATTGTCACTACCACCGCCACCAGAGCCACCACCTCCAGTGCCACCGCCTCCAGAGCCACCGCCTCCAGAGCCACCTCCTCCAGAGCCACCGCCTCCAGAGCCACCGCCTCCAGAGCCACCGCCTCCAGATCCACCGCCTCCAGAGCCACCACCTCCGCTTTCTCCGCCACTGCCGCTGTTTCCATTATCGCAATCCTCTGGAATTACTCTGTCACCACATACTACATTTTCAGGCCAATCGCATTGCTCAGTGTAAGGGTTGTACAGAAGATTTGCAGGGCAACTTTTGACTACGGGCAAGCCGTTAGAGCATATGTAGAACTGGTTACAATTCTCATGAGCAACAAGGATGCCTTCTGATCCTTTGACGGCGCAGATTGAGGGTGCTTCTCCGGGATTGCAGTTGCAAGTGTTGTTATTGTTACTATCACCACCACCAGAACCACCGCCTCCAGAGTCACCGCCTCCAGAGCCACCACCTCCAGTGCCACCGCCTCCAGAGCCACCGCCTCCAGATCCACCGCCGCCAGAGCCACCGCCTCCAGAGCCACCGCCTCCAGAGCCACCGCCTCCAGAGCCACCGCCTCCAGAGCCACCGCCTCCAGAGCCACCGCCTCCAGAGCCACCGCCTTCAGAGCCACCGCCTCCAGAGCCACCGCCTCCAGAGCCACCACCTCCGCTTTCTCCTCCGCCACTGCCGCTGTCTCCATCACCGCAATCCTCTGGAATTACTCTGTCACCACATACTACATTTTCAGGCCAATCGCATTGCTCAGTGTAAGGGTTGTACAGAAGATTTGCAGGGCAACTTTTGACTACGGGCAAGCCGTTAGAGCATATGTAGAACTGGTTACAATTCTCATGAGCAACAAGGATGCCTTCTGATCCTTTGACGGCGCAGATTGAGGGTGCTTCTCCGGGATTGCAGTTGCAAGTGTTGTTATTGTTACTATCACCACCACCAGAGCCACCGCCTCCAGAGCCACCGCCTCCAGAGCCACCACCTCCAGTGCCACCGCCTCCAGAGCCACCGCCTCCAGATCCACCGCCGCCAGAGCCACCGCCTCCAGAGCCACCGCCTCCAGAGCCACCGCCTCCAGAGCCACCGCCTCCAGAGCCACCGCCTCCAGAGCCACCGCCTCCAGAGCCACCGCCTCCAGAGCCACCGCCTCCAGAGCCACCACCTCCGCTTTCTCCTCCGCCACTGCCGCTGTCTCCATCACCGCAATCCTCTGGAATTACTCTGTCACCACATACTACATTTTCAGGCCAATCGCATTGCTCAGTGTAAGGGTTGTACAGAAGATTTGCAGGGCAACTTTTGACTACGGGCAAGCCGTTAGAGCATATGTAGAACTGGTTACAATTCTCATGAGCAACAAGGATGCCTTCTGATCCTTTGACGGCGCAGATTGAGGGTGCTTCTCCGGGATTGCAGTTGCAAGTGTTGTTATTGTTACTATCACCACCACCAGAGCCACCGCCTCCAGAGCCACCGCCTCCAGAGCCACCACCTCCAGTGCCACCGCCTCCAGAGCCACCGCCTCCAGATCCACCGCCGCCAGAGCCACCGCCTCCAGAGCCACCGCCTCCAGAGCCACCGCCTCCAGAGCCACCGCCTCCAGAGCCACCGCCTCCAGAGCCACCGCCTCCAGAGCCACCGCCTTCAGAGCCACCACCTCCGCTTTCTCCTCCGCCACTGCCGCTGTCTCCATCACCGCAATCCTCTGGAATTACTCTGTCACCACATACTACATTTTCAGGCCAATCGCATTGCTCAGTGTAAGGGTTGTACAGAAGATTTGCAGGGCAACTTTTGACTACGGGCAAGCCGTTAGAGCATATGTAGAACTGGTTACAATTTTCATGAGCAACAAGGATGCCTTCTGATCCTTTGACGGCGCAGATTGAGGGTGCTTCTCCGGGATTGCAGTTGCAAGTGTTGTTATTGTTACTACCACCACCACCAGAGCCACCGCCTCCAGAGCCACCGCTTCCAGAGCCACCGCCTCCAGATCCACCGCCTCCAGAACCACCGCCTCCAGAGCCACCACCTCCAGAGCCACCACCTCCAGAGCCGCCGCCTCCAGAGCCACCGCCTCCAGATCCACCGCCTCCAGAGCCACCGCCACCAGATCCACCGCCTCCAGAGCCACTGCCTCCAGAGCCACCGCCTCCAGAGCCACCGCCTCCAGAGCCACCGCCTCCAGAGCCACCGCCTCCAGAGCCACCGCCTCCAGAGCCACCGCCTCCAGAGCCACCGCCTCCAGAGCCACCGCCTCCAGAGCCACCGCCTCCAGAGCCACCGCCTCCAGAGCCACCGCCTCCAGATCCACCGCCTCCAGAACCACCGCCTCCAGAGCCACCACCTCCAGAGCCACCGCCTCCAGAGCCACCACTTCCAGAGCCACCACCTCCAGAGCCACCACCTCCAGAGCCACCGCCTCCAGAGCCACCGCCTCCAGATCCACTGCCTCCAGAGCCACCACCTCCAGATCCACCGCCTCCAGAGCCACCGCCTCCAGAGCCACCGCCTCCAGAGCCACCGCCTCCAGAGCCACCGCCTCCAGAGCCACCGCCTCCAGATCCACCGCCTCCAGAGCCACCACCTCCGCTGTCTCCATTACCGCTACCCCCAGGAATTACTCTGTCACCACATACTACATTATCAGGCCAATCGCATCGCTCAGTATAAGGATTGTAGAACAGATTTATAGGGCAACTTTGTACTATGGGCAAGCCGCTAGAGCATGTGTAGAACTGGTTACAATTTACGTGAGCTATAAGAACGCCTTCTGATCCTTCACCGGCGCAGATTGAGGGTGCTTCTCCGGGATTACAGTTGCAAGTGTTATTATTGTTGTCACTACCTCCTCCAGATATAACTCTGTCACCACATTGTACGTTTTCATGCCAATCGCATCGCTCAGTGTAAGGGTTGTACAGAAGATTTGCGGGGCAACTTTGTACTACGGGCAAGCCGTTGGAGCATATATAGAACTGGTTACAATTTTCATGAGCAACAAGAATGCCGTCTGATTCTTTGACGGCGCAGATTGAGGGTGCTTCTCCGGGATCGCAGTTGCAAGTACTGTTGTTGTCACCACCACCTTCTGATTCGCCATCACCGCTGCCTCCTCCCGCACTGCTTTCATCATTATCGTTATCTTCTGGAATTACTCGGTCACCGCACTGTACGTTTTGTGGCCAATCGCATAGCTCAATGTAAGCGTTATAAAAAAGACCTGCTGGACAGGTCATCGACAGTGGTTTTCCATTACAACATTTGTAAAATTGAGAACAATTTTCATGAGCAACAAGTGCCCCTTCAGATCCTTCAGCAGCGCAGATGGTGGGAGCTTCTTCGGGATTGCAGTTGCAAGTATTGTTATTGTCATTACCACTTTCTCCGTTACCGCCATCAATGCTGCCACCACCTCCGCTTCCTCCTCCGCTACTTCCACTATCTCCATTTCCGTTGTTTTCTGGGATAACTCTATCACCACATTTAACGTTTTGAGGCCAATCGCATAGCTCAGTGTAAGCATTATAAAGAAGACCAGCCGGACAGGTCATCGTCATTGGTTTGCCATCACAACACTTATACAACTGGTTACAATTTTCATGAGCTACAAATTGACCTTCAGATCCTTGAGCTGCGCAAATGGAGGCAGCTTCTCCTGGATTACAGTTGCAACTTTTGTTATTACCATCACTGCCTACTCCTGAACCATCATTGCCAATACCACTGCCTCCGCTATCCCCTCCGGCACTTTCGTTATCTCCAGGAATAACCCTGTTGCCACACTGTACATTTCGAGGCCAGTCGCATTGTTCTGTCTTTGGATTGTACAAAAGATTTGCTGGACAGAACAACGCTATTGGTACTCCTTCTGAACATTTGTAAAACTGGTTACAGTTCTCGTGAGCTATTAGTACACCGTCGGAACCTTTAGCTGCACAGATTATGGGTGCCTCGCCAGGGTTGCAATTGCCACCACTATCGTTATTGCTATCATCTTCGTCAGAGTCATCTTTATCCTCATTATCAGCTATGACTCTGTTTCCACAATCAACATTTTCCGACCAATCGCATTGATCAACTTCAATGTTGAAAAATAAACCTTTAGGACACGTGTGTTCAACTAATTCACCTCTTAAACATTGATAGAACTTGTTGCAATATTCGTGCTCAAGCAACTTTTCAACGGTTAAGTCAAAGGGGCACCCATTCTGATTGGAATCTACTACATATCCACGAGCGACTGCAAGTGCAAGGATCAAACTGATCCCAGCGCCTGAAAATAATAATAATAACAGCACATGAATATTTTATTACCAAAAAATATTTGATTTTAAAAAATATAAAATATTTAAAGAAATAATTAATATACTCAATAACACTATTTTAGTTAATTGATTACCTTAAGTCAATAATTATTCATCATTGCCGATATATATATACTCATGTCTAGAATATGTTACGTAATAATTTTTAATAATTATTAACTTAGGTTTTCGATAATAATCTTAAAATATGTTCAATTAAGACATATATAAAATAATTAATATATTTTTTCACCTTCGGGTGTTTAAAATGTCCTATAATTTAATATTTGTGGTTTAAGATATTTTTTTTATAGGATAATGGTGACAAACAAGCACACAGTCCACCTGATGGTAAGTGGTTGTTGCGGCCCATAGACATCTACATCTATCCTCGTTTGCGAATCAAAATGCAGATGCATTGTCACCCGTGAGGACTAAGATGTAATGCCTCATTTCCAGTAAAAAAGGGCCTGTTTTATTTCTCAAACGAATTATAATTAACTTAAGTACATCAGAAAAATTTCAATGTAAGCCTAATTCAAACTCCACGGCACACAAAGTGATAACAAAATAAAAAATAAAAATCACTATATTATTTTTAGTCTAAGCGAAAAAAATTTACTTAAATAATACCAATTATATTAAAGTCCTTGTACATCAACTACACTTACGTTATATATAAAGTCACTATAATATGTTTACAATTTTATAGTTAACAAACATGTTACTATTAACAATTAATAAAGATGTTAATACCTACCTTTCATGATATGCCTAATAATTATTATTTTTTGTAATCTTCCCGTTATGCACAGAAACTTATGATAGCAATTTTAGAACTGCAGACAATTTATACATTCTCTAGGTTTTATACATGAATTAAAATTATCAGTATGATTCTTAGAAAGTATGATTTCTAGTACAGATAATTCGCAAAATGTTCGATACCGATTAATCTCTATGAAAAACAATGATTTATCAGTAAGTAATTTTTCGATATTCTTATGACTTAATTATATTACGCGTAAGTTTGTAAACAGTCAATTCTATATTTTTTTTACGAGACAGCTAGTCAAATTGTTTTTAATCGTTATTACAAAGCTAAAGTGACCAATAAACTTACAGTTCTCCTGATTGTAAGTGGCTACTGCAACCCATGGACACCTTCAGCAACCTTCAAATAATGCGTTGTGACCTCTGAGGATTAAAATGGAATGTTTCTCAGACTGTAATCATCACACATACTGGTTTAGTGCAAATACTACGAAATTTTCACTCCTTTATTTAACACATCGATAATCCAAGCAAACATTAATCTGGTCTAAGAAAAACCGGTCAAGTGCGAGTCGGACTCGCGCACTGAGGGTTCCGTACAAATCCGGTTAAAAATTATTAAAAATATTTTTATTATATGATGTAACTAAAAATTTATGCTTTTCGCAATTTTTCCTTTATCTGTGCTATAATACTTTGCTTCGTACCAAATTTTAAGATTGTGAGTTCACAGGAAGTACCGTGTAGGTTTTGATTCCCTTGCGAATGTTGAAAATTTGCGGCATAAACAGCTGTATCTTTTGATTGCGTTGGTTTAGAAGTTTGATTTTTGCACAGCTCCAAGGGACAGTAGAGTTGAGTATTTGATATGAATTTCAGCTTGATACCTCCTTCCGTTCTTGAGAAAAAGGCTCTTGACAGACAGACGGACAACAAAGTGATCCTATAAGGGTTCCGTTTTTTCCTTTTGAGGTACGGAACCCTAAAAATTAAAACAATACCAAAACTTCCCCAATGCTTTTATTGTATTGTTTTGTGTTCCTCTTACAAATTATATTTGACGACTTTTAAAAAGGCAAAGTACAATGATGATGATGAATATTTTTATATATTTCCGTTTAATAGAAAAATCAACGTTTAGCTGATCAGCCAATATTCTTTAAAATTCTAATTATATGCGCATATTATGCAAAAAATGTTAAAACGATTATGTGAGATCTAATCATAGTGTATTATTTTTGTGTCTTTTTCTAACGTCAAGACAGAAGAGAATGATTAAATTATTCGTTAAATAATAGTAATTACATATTTTGTGTTTTTATGGAAAACGAGCTCAGTAAGTTGTAGGTATCTGTAACATAAAGAAATTAAGATAATTAATTATGCGTAACCGTTCCAGCGTTCTCAGATAAAATACACTATTACCATGATCTCCAAGCACCATGTGCGAGAAAGCAGTGTCATTCTGCTACAATAATCTAATATTGAAGTCAGCAGTTCAGCAGTTTGAGATAAAAGGCCTTCTCCTACTGTGGTACATATATAATACAGCATAAGTACACCAGAACAGATACGCCACTCTATTTTTTTTAAATAGTATCTGATTGAAGAATAACACTTATGCGTTATATTCTGTTTATTCATCTTAAACCAACCAGCTTAGGGTAAAATAAATTATTCTTTTTATTATTATTATTAGGTAGTATACGTCTTTGGGTGGATTTTTTGGGATGGATAAACGGAATATCCCTATTTATGTCTTATCAATTGAAGTAATTTTTCCAATTTTGTCGCTCAATGACTCTTTATTTATTAAAATAACAGTATTCTATTAAATCTTAGAGACATTAGAATATAATATTTAACAAAATAAAATATTATATTTTATTTTGTTATTTCTAGACATAATATGATATTAATGCAATTCTGAAATACTTATTTCTGCAAGTGTCCCTCAATCATCTAGGTCTAATAGTCTTTGGGAATTCAAAAAATTCTTTGAAAAACTGACATAGATACACAGACACCGACTTGACTCTAAAAGTGATCGAACTTTACTAAATTTGGCGTGGAATACATTTAATAATATGTCTAAAAAAGAAGACCACGCGAGCGAAGCCGCGGGTAAAAAGCTAGTATTATAATCTAATTTCTCTAAGATTTAATAGAATACTGTTATTTTAATAAATAAAGAGTCATTGAGCGACAAAATTGTAAAAATTACTTCAATTGCTAAGACATAAATAGGGATATTCCGTTTATTTTATTAAAACGGTAATTAAACGTTTATTTTATAAAATTTTACATTATTTTATTAAAACTATTAACGGTGTGGTGGCGGTGTGAGAACATTCGCTACCCCATATTATCATCCCATGGGTGTCATAAGAGACGGCCGAGGGAAACTGAACCAGCAGATGGGCAGCAGCATCTTCCTGATAATATGTGATTAAAGTTGAAGATAAATCTTTAACCAATACTGTAGGATATTTTATGGAAGTTTTGCCTTTTTAAGTATTTCAGATGTTTTACTTTTTTAATTTAAAACTGTTTAAAATATTTTGTTTTTATCAATCACAAACAATATGGTATTTGGACATAAAAGTCTTACGACGATATTAATTATAGACTTTTTATATGTAAGTGACAAACGAGCACAGTCAGTCCACCCGATAGCAAGTTCTTTTTCTTTTTTTTTTCTTTTTCTTTTTTAACAACAATCAAATTTGCAAAAATCTTAGTTTTAATCAAAAGTTAGATTATGCAGTTATCGTACACTAACTATAAGGGACTCTTGCTCCAATACTGAAACACTACTCAATTTTACGATGCCGTTAAACTTAACAACATCTTAAAATTGAGTAGCGCTTGAGTGTAGAGGCCGCGCAGCATGCTCACCGCCCTAACCGGGCTGAGGCCGAGCTATGATTTATGACCCCAACTGCACGGACAAAATAATTTTACTATAGGCCCTAATCACTGTATATTGCTATTTAATGTCTGTTTTCTGTAAGAGCGTCCTGTAGCTGTAATTTTACGTGGTATCAGATATTACTTAAAACTATACTTATTTTCAAGAATGTTTATCGAATTTTTCAAAATTAAAAATATCGAAAACACAATACTTGTATAGATTCGATTTTTTTTTTTACTTAAACAAAATAATGGCGGATACTTAAATAATAGATAGCTTCGTTACTCGCTCAGTGGGTGAGCTCTAATCAATTCTAATAAATTACAACCAGTCAATTGCCAAATCAATACATTTTATATTAGTAGGCAAATAATATTTGCCTACTAATATAAAATGTAATATTTATAAATATTTTACTAATATTACTTATCTATACAAATAAATAATATTTAAGTGTCTGTTTGTAATGTCAAAATAACAGCTTTTTACTAAATGAATATGATAAAAGTATATACGGTATTTATAACATTTTTTTAATTGTGTCTGTCTGTCTGTTTGTTCCGGCTAATCTCCGAAATGGCTCGATATATTTTCACTGGCAAAAAAGAGAATTAGGGTTCCGCGTAAAAAAATGAAAACCCATGAAATCCAATCGTAATAAATTAAACGCGGACGAAGTCTCGGGGAACAGCCAGTGTATCATAATCACAGTCGTTGAATTAATCAAATTATAAAGACAAAAAGTCACCTTCTATAAAGAAATTGTCGGTATACAAATTATATGTTCGTCGGTAGATAATAATCAAACAAAAAGAAAAATTTTAAAGATAAGATAGATCGATTAAATAATAAAATGAAATCTAATCGTTGGAGTGATATAATCCTGATAACAAATATATACTTTTATAGAAATCTTCGCAACAGTTGATGGATATTTATACCCGATCGCTAAAATGCGCGTCAAAGTTTGTTTAGGTGGAATAAATAAGAGGTAGTTGTACCGCCATGTATAAAAGACCACAATATATTATGCTGGCCATTTCTATAACAATACCAGTTGACAATGCGATTGTGGCTTCCAGAATAATAAGCTCATCATTAAGACACTCCCTTTCTTCGTGACGGAAACCAGATATTGTCCACTATGTTCCAATGCTCTATTTCAAATATCCCTGCTTTCGGACTACTTTGTTGCCTCGTTTTGGTTAACACCGCGTAGGCGTAGTGAGTTTTGAATGTATTGTATGGTCCGAGGGATATCTCTATATAAGTTTTATACTCCGATAGAAACAATTGAAAGTATATAAAAATACTAATTTAAAACATCAGTGTGAAGTAACACAACTATCTTCTGGCGGCGGCTGTGTTCAAATAGAAACGCATTAATGTCTATACTGGTGTATGGTACATGTCCTGGTCACATTTATTTGTTTTAAAACGAGCACACAGTCCACCCAAGGATAAGTTGATGCTTTGGCCCATAGATATATGGGCGATTCTCTGTAAACTCGTAATGGCCCATACAAACACTGTATATGGCATATTTTTTAGTATTTTCGTAAAAAATATAATAGTATTACTTAGGAAAGTAACTGTTGCTTTTGTATATAAGAGGGCCACTTGAGTTCATATGTATTTTTAAAGTTATTTTAGATTTTCTAATAAATCGCGACAGGGGATTGTTAGGTGGAACAGGGGACTGTTTTGTACATGATAAGGGACTGTTCGATGAGACAGAGGACTGTTTATATAGAAGTAAGTCATATTATTAGTATCAATCATTTATTACTTTATACCACATTTACGTATCAACATAAAACAATTATATTTCAAAAGGTTCTGAAGAAAAAACATAACCAAAAACATAGCTCCTCTAACAAAATTAAAACTTTCAGGTCAAAAGTATGATTCTAGAAACAATTTGTATTTGAGATCAACTTAGATGAATTACTAACATATATGATTAAATTCTGTATGCAGTCTTTTATAAAGTACTATTAATAAAATTATGATACAATAGTCTTTTCTCTCAACAATAATAGTATACTCGTATAAGCAGTTATAATGAGAGTAATTTGAAATAAGATCTGCAATAAAGTCTTAAACGTTTTTCTTAAAACTTATAAGGCACATACATAATCAGAATGAGCTTAGTTTAACATTAAAAATTGAAATTAGCCCTCGAAAACATTAGTATTATCCAACTTTTGGATAACTTACTCAAACAACACGTCTGAAATGGCCCTATCATTTATTTTAAAGGTCTGCATCTTCTTGTCACAAATATTTGACTGGCCTGTTGGTCTAGTGGTTAGTGACCCTGACTGCTACGCCGGAGGTCGTGGGTTCGATTCCCACCCAGGACAAATGTTTGTGTGATGAGCACGATCATTTGTTCTGTGTCTGGGTGTAATTTATCTATAATATGTATGTATTTAGAAATATATAAGTATGTTTATCAGTTATCTAGTACCCATAACACAAGCTCTGCTTAGCTTGGGACTAGATGGCGTTGTTTGATAGTTGTGGAATATTATATTATATTATATTTAGAAAAGTAACCCGTAAGTCATTTTCATTTTTATCTTCATCAATTTCATTAACTACAGCGGTATAACGATATTCCACATTTTTATCTGAAAATTTCACAAGAACGTAGTCTCCAGTATTGTAACATGAATTTTGAGTGCCACTGGTTCCGGCCATTTCAACTAAAAACTTTTAGGAAGCTTTTAGTTGATGTTTCAGCTGATTCTAAGTTTTGTTCCGATTCAGAATCTGTAAACACTTCTTCTACTGTCAATCTAGATTTTAGGTCAAAGTTGATACTACCTATCTTATTATGCTCACAAGATCCGCTGTTACAAAAGCAGCTGAGACTTTTAATTGTTAGGGTTTTACATTTTTTCGACAGGCCGAGGATGAAACTAGAATAAAGAACAGAAAGACCTGATGCGCATTTAAGTTGCCTTTAGATGACTACTGACCGGATGCTTCCTTTTCAATTTTATCGATCATTGCCTGGATGTCATTACCGTCAGTTGGGATACTTGTGATGCCAAGGCTCTTGGATTGATTTGACAAACTGATCGATATTGTTGATATCACCCCCAGAATTAACAGCAAAATCAACTGTTCTTTTGCATGTAGCCCCAACGCCGTCTGGTGCGCCTTTACCGTGTCCACTTTCTGTGTAGTTCTACGTAAAATTTTCAAACTCTGGAATTTCTTCAGCCAGTTTAGTTGCCATGATTAAAACATCGCTTTATTATGATACTGCGTAACAGGGCCATCGCTCAAGAAATGTACGCGTTTGATACCACTTGGAAGAGTCTTCAAAATTGGTCGAAGTTGTGCCCAAATGGCAGCAGGTGAATGGGCTATGTTCTCGGAGACTGTGGAAAAAGATCGGATTGAATTCCGTAGGTAAACTACGACGGTGTGCAGACTCAGTTGAACTCGAGATCCACCGAAATGAAAAGCCTGTATTTCTTCAACGTACTTCGTGCAATAGTTTTCACTAAAATCCATGTGGAGCAGTACAGTCTTGTAGATTTAGCTTTAAATTGCTCATAGCGTTATATTGGTGTACAATATTTCTTTGATGCTCAAAAAATTTTATTAAATCTTCAATAAATGCAAATGTGTTATGAGCTGTCTTGGATGTATGTCAATTATTTTTTCAGATATTTTGTTACTATTCGAAATTATTTAGTCTTGAAATCTTGACCTCTCAGAAATCCACATCTTATAGTTAATTACTTTGCTATTTGTCAAACTCTATATATTCGGGATTTTTGTTACTGCAAGTAGAACAGATTCTAGATAAACAGTCTTCGTAGTACCGATTGCAATACAAGTCATATTTATTTCCCAGAGTATATAGTCCCAGAAAGGACGCAGTCGGCAAAATGTCTGATAACTGATTTTCAAATTCTCAGCCATAAATTTTTATATAGATTAAAAACTGTATCAAAAAGGTATCTTTTTTGTTTTTTCACATTCTTCCTAGTAATAAATTCCTTTGTACCAGCTGCCATACGACTGTTACTATCATCTTCAAAGATATTCTGAATTTCTCGTTTGTAACTATTAGGTATTTTAATCCGGTGACTTACAGGTACACCCAAGCCATTGGGATTAATTTTTTTTTGTTTATAATATAAAATTCGCGTTTTCTTTAGGTTTCCAATGCCTATAATATTTAACTAGACTATCAGATATGAATTTTTGAAATATTTGTTTATCTTTCGTACGTTTTAATGCTGAATAGTTATTATTCAACTGTTCACCAAGCACATCGCAAAATAATGCTTTTTTGACCACTTCCATTCTCGTATCAGGCTTATCTAACATTTTTAATATCTCCGTATTAGGTGTATCGTTAACATTTCTTTTTTTTCCTATTTTCAAGTCTTCCCAATCTTTTTTTTTTTGTATTTCTCAAGTCCTTTCTGTAAACACGCGATCTTTTCATTTCGTTCTTTATTATATTTTCGTCTTCTCCTTTTGGCTTGTCTTTTTCTTTGCAATGAACTAATACTGGTTATTGCTGAACTTGGAGATACAAAAAACTGATTTGAAACTGGGGTAAGCTATCTTGAAGGGGGAGTATCTACTTTAGGATCTGATAATGGTGTATTTTCACGCATAAATGCATTAATAACACTCCTCAGTCTCTTTCGTTTAAACCGGTAAACCCTGCCCTGTGTTCACGTTGTGTCATATCTTTCACTAATTTTCTCAAACCTTTCTTTTTCTGATATTTTAATCCCTCCTTTTCTTTCATCTCTTCTCTCTTTAGAGGATCATTTTTTCTACGCTGATATCTTCGTCTCTCTGCTTGTCTTTATTTTCTAATGATTCCTCTCGAGATTACTTTTTCTTTTTAGGAGCCATCATTTGTAGGTAACCTGTAACATAATTTGCTTTCAGTGAGGTAAATTAATGCGAAACATTCTTCCCGTGTTTCTCATATGAATAAATCTTAAACGAGTGAACGAATTTATGTAAACAAAACCTTTTAATAATGACTACTTTTATAAGATATACAGTCCCCAGGCACATAGAACAGTCCCATGGCATATTGCCAGGCAGGGTACTGTAGCCAGGGGACTGTTTATTTTGGTTTAATATTTATTATAGTTTTAATATTTACAAAACTATTGAAACATGATTCGGTACGAAGCTACCGACAAATGTTATACGTGGTAGAGCCATGCTGCAGCTATATTAGTAGTATAGTTGTAGCACGAATGGGTCGGCTCGACCGGGGAAGGACCGCGCTCTCACAGAATACCAGCGTAAAATGGCAGCTTGACACTGCTGTCTTTCGTTTGGTGAGTGTAGAGAACCGGAGACCCATTTTACTGGAAAACAGGTATTCCATCTTAGTCCCCACGGGTGACAACGCATCTGCATTTTGATTCTTTATTGAGGATAGATGTAGATAGATGTCTATGGGTCACAGCAACCACTTACCATCAGGTGGACTGTGTGCTCGTTTGTCACACTATCATATAAAAACAATTATTATATTCTACATCTATATAATATATAAACTTATTACATCTGCATTTTGATTTTTTATTGAGGATAAATGTAGATATCTATGGATCACAGCAACCACGTACCATCAGGTGGACTGTGTGCTCGTTTGTCACCCTATCCTATAACAAAATGTGTACACAATCAAAGACATAATAAACAATTTATATAAATATTTAAACTAATGAACATTATTAAAATTACTTTTAATTAAAATTGCACCACAAATGATGCGCGGACACTAAACAAAATGGCAAACCGACGCCGTTCTCAGCAATGTTACTAACTTCACATTGGTTGTATTTCATTTCACGAAAATAAAACTTTGTATTTTTTCTATTTTTGCTTTTAATTTTGTCAGGGGACTGTTTAAGAAAACTTAGGACAACTTTAACATGACATTATTACATTTAAAAAATAAGAAGCTAAACCTTGTTTTATGACATAAATATAAATTGATTATTCTATTTTTAGATACAAACTGCGAAATATATTTAGTGTTCACAGTTTTTTTTAAATATTATCTCTAAGTTGGAATCCGTGAAATGGGATAGCCAGGGGACTGAGTTTTAGGGCTTCAATATATTTTTCAAAAAAAGGAAAATTGTTGTCGTTATAAATACAATAACACTAGAAAGATCAGCGTTTAATTTTAATTAAGAGACATAGTTATATTTCTATGCTTCTATGCTTTAAATAGTTCCGGACAGCCGTTTAAGAGTTTACGGAGAATCGCCCATATAACATCTATCCTCAATAAAAATCAAAATGTAGATGCATTGCCACCCCTGAGTACTGAGATGTGATGCCTCGTTTCCAGTAAAAAAGGGTCTCCGGTTCTCTACAATCATAATACGAAACACAGCAGCATTAAGCTGCTATTTCACGCTGCTATTTCACGCTGCTATTTCACGCTGGTATTCTATGAGAGCGTGGTCCTTACCCAGTCGAGGCGACCGATTAGTGCTATAACTATACCATTAATATAGCTGCAGCATGGCTCTATCACCTAAATCCTGGTCCTGGTCCTGATAAGGCCTGGAATAAAACATGTTATGACACTTTTACTACGGATAATCAAAAGTTGTCGAGTGGTGACGAAGTAAGAGTATCTATCTATCAATTCTATAGTGACTGCTTCTTTCAGGTTGCTCGGTTTTGTTATTAGACATTCTAAAGATTTCAAAAGTAAGTATAGAGAACCGGAGTTTATTTTTACTGGAAACGAGGCATTCCATCTTAGTCCTTACGGGTGACAACGCATCTGCATTTTGATATATAATCGAAGGTAGATGTAGATGTCTATGGGCCACAGAAACTACTTACCATGAAGTGAACTGTGTGCTCGTTTGTCACCCTTTTAAAAAAAATCGTCCACCCGTATGTCAAATTTCATACAAATCTGTTATCTGCGATCGAGAAACAAACATAATTTCCTTTCACTTCCATACTTAAATTCAAGTCTATGCCATCGCGTTTATAATAGTGATGTGATGTAATCGTACCCTTGTAAGTATGTTGTTAACTTATCACTCCTTGTCTATGAAAAGATTAATTGAAATTAATTAGAAAACGTAACTAACCTAGGTACTATTTATTCACGCAGATATCATAGATTATTATCTATACTGAATACATACTACATACAAATAATTAAAATTGAAGTATCTGTGTGTAATGTCAAAATAACAGCATTTTACTTAATGCATATGAAAGTATACACAATTTATAAAATTTTTGTTTGTCTGTCAGTTTGTTCCGGCTAATCTCCGAAATGGCTGGGATTATTTTGGCGGGACTTTCACTGGCCGATAGCTGATGTTTTAAGGAGTAGCTTACATTAATTTCAGAAAAAGAATTAGGGTTCTGTGCAAAAAAAATTAAAACCTTAAATAACACGCGGACGAAGTCGCGGGGAAGAGCTAGTTATTAATAAGATTACTAATAAGGTGACAGGTATCGAGTAGTCATTTACTTTTTAGCCGTCTTCAAAAAAGAAGGAGGTTGTCAATTCGACTGTATGTTCTTTTGTTGTTAGTGTGTTATGCGATGTCATTTACTAGTTTTGAACCAATTTAATTGTTTACTTTTCTGTTAAACAGGTAGGTACTTCAGAAATGGTTTTATATAAATTCGAAGAAAGAATTCCATCCGTACGGGTGGGAAAAATAGGTTATGATATGCTTGCTCCCTGTTTGAGAATAACAAAAATCAAAACATTCCGAACCTTAATTTCCACATTCTGATGTCGTGTACTTTAATTCTCAAACGAAATAATCACATCATTTTTGGTAGATGATGATTATATTAAATTATGAAAATTGAATCATTATACATATAATGCCGTGCAGTGGCGGTCAAGAATATCCACTATCCCATATCTTCCCGTGGGTGTCGTAAAAGGCGACAAACGGAAACAGGCAGGAGATGGGCAGCAGCATCTTCTTGATAACAACAAACTAACAATAAAAAAACTGCCGTTGCCAACCCGCTCGCCAAGCGTGGCAACTATGGCAAATACCCCCTATGAAGAGAGTAACAAAGAGACGGCCCCCAGTCCCCGGCGGTCCCGCTATTCCTGGCTACGGTGGCGACCATGGTAACGGCGGGGCAGGGGGTGCTAAGAATCTCCGGTGGAGGTTCGGTTGCCACCTTAGATGACTCGACCTGGCAACGTACAACGCACGCACCCTGAGGACTGACGAGAAGATCGTGGAGCTGGAAGAAGAGATAGACAAGTTACGCTGGCATATTATAGGATTATCCGAAGTCCGAAGAGAGGGGGAGGACACAGTAATCCTCGAATCCGGCAACTTGCTCTATCACCGGGAGGGCGACCATCTGACCCAAGGAGGTGTCGGATTTATAGTCCACAAGTCTCTCGTTAACAACGTTGTAAAGATCGAGAGTGTGTCGACGAGGGTTGCGTACCTTATACTCAGAATCACCAAACGGTATTCGCTGAAGGTCATACAGGTTTACGCACCAACCTCGGAACACCCCGATGAGGAGGTAGAGGAAATGTATGAGGATATCTCTGGAGCCATGCATTCCTCCAAAACCCAATATACGATGTTAATGGAAGACTTCAATGCAAAACTAGGCACAAGAGAGAATGGTGAGCTGAAAGTAGGAAAATTTGGAATAGGGCAACGGAACCCAAGGGGCCAGCAGCTGGCTGACTTCATGGAGAAAGAGGGACTCTTTATGATGAACTCTTTCTTCCAGAAGCGGCCCCACAGGAAGTGGACCTGGTCGAGCCCAGACGGTTCGACAAAACATGAGATTGACTTCATTTTGACGACCAGGCGACAACTGTTCAGTGATGACTCCGTGATCGCGAGGGTGAAAACTGGTAGCGATCACCGAATGGTTAGAGGCACACTGAACCTAAACGTTAAGTTGGAGAGGTCTCGTCTAATGAAGTCAACGCTCCGTCCCCCTCGTGCTCTAGTTCAAAGTCCTGAAACCTTTCAGCTCGAGTTACAAAACCGTTTTCAGTACCTAGAAGACATTCATTACATGAAGTGGATGATATGAATGACAAGCTCGTGGAAACTGTTTATGCGGTCGGAGCTAAGTTCTGCA